TCTTCTTTTAAGGCATTCCAACTATATATAAGTTGATAAATTGGTGCATCTCTTCCAAAACTATGCTTAACCTTTGGTAAAAGCAAGTTATTTCTCCATCGGTAGTTGTAATTAGAAGGCCTAAAATATTTATTTAATTCTTCGCTTATATAAGATTTTTTCTTGCTCACCTTTATTAGTTTAAAACCTTCCAAAAGAACTTGTTTTTTATATAAAGTTTTTATTTTATCAATTTTGATCTGGTTATAAAAAGAAGTGACAGAGGAATCATAAGGCAACTTATATAATGCTCTTATAAAGTTATTTTGTATAACTTGCAATCTATTCAATACAAAAGAAGAAGCTGTACCCCATACAGAAATACCATATCGAAGTTTAGGTTCCATGCAAGCGTGATACAAGCGCAAAACAGTCTCACAATTTAAAAAACTCATTATTCTTTTCAGTATTCCAATATATCTAGATAAAGACAGTGTTAAATTATTTATATGATTGTTCCATCGTAACTTATCATCAATTTCGATACCTAAATATTTTACAGTATTAACTCTTCGAATACGTTCATTATTTATTCTTACTTGTATATCTTCTAAATTCACTTTTTTGTTTTTATTTGATAAACAAATATATTTTGTTTTATTTTCATTTACACTTAAGTTATTATTTTCCATATACTTACTTAATTTAGCCAGCAAAGAATTTATATTATTTTCAACCAATTGAAGATTCCAATCTGCATATGTTATAACCAGAGCCGGCCCTACCATAGGGCGAACGGAGCAGCCGCTCCAGGCGCTAAGTCCTATGGGGCGCCTCAGTGGTGAAGAAAAAAATATTTTTTTTCACTTTTCGATATTTTAATTGCAAGCGTGTGACCAGTATGTGAATGGCCTTATCGGTTGAAACGCGCGTGGGTCGAGTGCGTGGCGGGATTCCACTACCGGGCGCCATAATAGGATCTCGCTCCATCCTAAAACTTGCCTCGGGCCGGCGCTGGTTATAACAATATCATTTGCATACAATATATTATTATTCTCGGGAACAGTCTCTACAATATCATTTATATAAATATTAAAAAGTAGAGGGCCCAAAATGGATCCCTGTGGTACACCTTTGTTCACTTGAAAAAGTTTTGATATTGAATTTTTTACCTTAACATAGTACATACGATTTGATAAATAGGATATTAGCCATTCCAATGGCGCTCCTCTCAATCCAACTTTAAACAATTTTTGTTTTAATATCTGAATATCTACGCTATCAAAAGCCTTGGTCAGATCGATAAACACCACCATTACAATATTTGAATTATCGAGACTATTACTAATATATTGTTTAAGATGAGTCAAAGCATCAATTGTAGAGGCCTCTCTTTTAAAACCATACTGATTATTAGATATAATTTTATATTTATTGACAAATTCAAAAAACCTTTTATAGAAAGCCTTTTCAATTATTTTAGTTATACTCTGAATAANTTTATTATTAAAAACTTTTTATATTTTTAATTAATATAGTGGTAAAAAGCTTAATTTTAAAGGTAGGGACAGATTTTATAAGAAATTGTAAATGTTAACGAGTAAAATCGTTACATCCGACCCTACTCAAAACTGTGTCCTCAACACATGACCCCTTTATTTCCCCACTCTGTCAACCTTTAACCACCAAAATTTAATAGCATCAATCCCCCTAATATACAAACCTCCCTGAAAAACTTCAGAAATTTTTGACAGCAGAGGAATTGTTAAGCTTCAATTAGGGTGAACAAAATCAAGCCCCCACATACACACTAATATTCGTACAGAAAAAAAACTCCAAAATTTTTTGTATTTCTCAACGTTTCAAGGTGTCCCAATCCAAATATTAAAATTTTCGGGAGTCGATTTTTGACTGATCGCCATACTTTCTCTCTTACATATGTGCTGCTCACTTGCCAAATCGATTTCTTCAGTTTTTGTTTTATGAAGTTAAAGTGACAAAGTAATATACATTCTTTTTAAAAATTTCTTGTAAAATATAAATTTGAATAAACATTGTAGAATGTATTATTGTAGATGTAGCTTTTATTTAACAATGTATAAAATAGCATAGATATGCTATAATCGTTGTTGTTATGATTTTGGTGTGATTGGCAGAGTTAATCAATTTGTCAAGTGAAAAAAGTAGTAACATGCAGTTCAGTCAGTTTTATTATTACAGAGAAATGTCATTATCATACATTTTTTATTAAAATTTTTCACAAAAATGAATAATAACTGTTCTGTTACTATTACCATAGTTATTATTATTTTGTTTAAATTGATTATTCAGCAACGTAAATGATTTCTTCGTCAGCTGTATTTGAGGTCCATCATGTCGATTTGTTCTTAAATTTTTATAAGAATCATGTTTAATAGGAAGAATGAAAAAATTATTTTTAGTTTCATCCATCTTGATATGACATAACTTTTTTTTCTAAAAACAATTGCCACCAAAATTAAAACAATCATTCAATAATATTTCACAAGTATACTTACTTCTGCAGCAGGTGAACTATAACTAATTTCTTTTACTTACTTTTTGTGTTGAGATAACGTTAAATAATTTACCATTATCTACAATGCATTGGTTAGTGAACACTGCAGCATTGCAATCACAGTATGTGATGGCAGATTTACATTACAGTATGGAGTTTATTTCAGAAGCCAATCTAAGTTTTTTTGATGGCCAATAAACTTTTGTCATTGTCGTATTGATTCTTATTATTAGGGAAACTTATGAATATAAAAAGTTATGAACATATCAAGTGCTTGTTTAGTCAAGATCCATGTCATTTTTTATTTTTTTTTTTATATATCTTTTTCTTTAAACCTCCTTGTCAGGTTGACAGAAAGAGTACACGGAGGTTTAAAGAAGACATATCAAGTGCTTTGACACTAAAATTTTAAAAAATTTTAAATGTGGAGTTAATTGATTTGGCTTATGAATGGCTCATAACAGAGCTGGAAAAGTAAAAATGAACAAGATTTGAATATGTTTAGACAATCTTTATATAACAGAATTAAAAAGATTACAAATGTTTCATCATTTAATATCTTACACATTACTCATACAAATATAGAAATGTTTTTCTTGTATAACAATATTTATAAGACTTTGTAATCTTTCATTAAAATAACAACGGTATATAAACAATAACATAACATTAAGATTATTAAACATTAAGTACCGACATTTCTTGATTTAATTAAACTGTGGATTAAGGGATCTGAAATCTTTATATTAAAACATGATGTAAAAATTACCACTTTATACATGTACTGTACATAATCATTTGAACAACTATAACATCATTTCACAACACAATTTGAAGAATATAGAATCAACATTATAGAATATATTTTCTATATATAATGAGTTTACATAAGTAATTATGTATTTAAAATGATTTTGACATTGAGACCAATTTGGAATTAAATTGAAGTTTTACAACCTTGTGAGGAAGTTGGTTATTCAGTTTAATTTTAAATATAAAATCTCATTTCTTTCAGTTAATATCATGTAGAATGTAGGTCTGAAAAATCCTCAAGTTTGATTCGTATTAAGTACAACCACAAAGATATGAGAGCAAGAGACACTAAGTCAGTTTATTTTGCTATACTCCATGCATTTCTCTTAACATACTAAATAGTAAAATATTCCAACAATTCTTTGTGTTTTTAATCAAAGTAACCAAGAAATGTTAATTGATACTTTTATACACTATTTATATATTTTGAGTGACTTATTAAGCTTCAAAATTGGAATACAAGGTCTGGCAGTAAAACAGGTGATTATAAACAGACCTTTATAAGTATTAAAAATTTAATAACTAAGTTTTTGTATACAAGATTTCAAACAACATAGTTTGCCATTTGTGTTTTGAAGTCAACATCACTCCAGTGAGTTCCATTGATACACACTTCATTTTCAAAGTATGTTGTGCCTAAAGTAGTGCAATATATTCTTGGTATGTTGTTAACTACGTGACAAATTACCTTTAAAGTTTCAGTATTTTGTAGACAATCTTCACATACCATATGCTTTGTTCACAAAATATTGAAATTATTTCTTTTATTAAAACATTGAAATTATACTTCAAAAATGAATTGTGTGAGAGTGAATCAATTACTGGAGTGATATCATCTTCAAAACATAAATGGCAGACTATGTTGTTTGAAATTTTGTATGTGAAAACGTGTTAATAAATATTCTAAAGTTAATAATGTCTATTTGTAACCATCCATTTTCTCATGGGCCTGTATTAATTTAAAATTTATATATAAAAAATGTACTTCAGACTATCTTCCCTAGTTTCCTTTTGTTTGTAAAATTCTTCATTTTGTTTTTGAAAAATGTGCGTTTCTAATAAAACATTTTACAATTGCTTAAGAAAATAGGTACTGTACATTATGGCATATAAGATGCATCCCCATTTAGCACAGAGTATTTAGGAAAAATTATTCAGTGTAATAAGTTTAATTAAACAGTAATATTTTTATCCAGGAATTGGGCTAGGTAGAAGTTACCTATAACCTACTAGAGACACTCTCTTCCTATATACAGGATAATTCATTAGCTTATCAGAGATCACAATTTCACATAAGAGACAGGGAATCTTTTGCTTTTTTGGTCAAAGATTGCATCTTATATGCCATAAAATATAGTAAATGCTTTTATGACTTTGACAAGTGCTTTAAAGTAGCACAATGATGAGCATTGGAAGCACTTGCACATTTTATTTCATTGTTTCAAAGTATGAACATTCTTGAGAAGTGAACAATAGAAACAGATAAGATACTTGCTTCTCTTCTCATTTCCATTCTCATAAAGTATGAATTAAACAAAAATATAATGTCCATTCAGAGTATAATATAAGATGATTAGAAAAATTTTTAATGACATTTTTTCATGATGTTTTTTGGGATGTACCAATTAAAATATTGATTTTTTTTTAGTGACTTAACAAGTTAAATAACTTTCATTTCAATTTGTATTATAGATTTGAAATGAATAAAAATGGCACAAATTACTTTCCTTAACAACAATTTGTACATAAAAATTAAAAAAACAATAATAAAATTCAGTAGCAATCAAAAAATTTGCTACAATATTCTTTACAGCAATGTTTTGTCATAATTTTTAACAACAAAACTTAAATGGATGCTGTACAAAATTATATTTTAAATGCACAGTAGCATTTTTAAGTCAAAAACAAAAATATTAACAAAGTTCTAATCAATTTAAACTGAAAAACCTTGGAAGTTTACCCGTTCGTTTCTGTCGCCAATAATCGTAAGTAACTTTTGATATAATTACGACAATAAGAATGCCCATAACGACATTTAGAATATCCAAATAATCTATAACTCGTTCCTGCGGGCACAGATCCGACTTCTGCAAATAGTAGATTATGGAATTTGAATGAGATAAGTCTCCAGGTGCACAACGTATGTCTCCAATATCTACCACCATCTGATAATTATCCTGCAACCAAGTTTTAAACCTGACCGTGTTGCAGTCACACTTCCATGGATTTCCTCCCAAGGAGATTTCCAATTTAGTAAGCTTATCGAGTAGATAGATGGGAACTTCTTTTAATTTATTATTACTAAGATTGAGTTCAATAAGATTCTTGTGAAATTTAAAATCTTGTAAAGAAAGCAATGATGAAATGCGGTTATTACTTAAATATAAAAATCTTACGTATTCCCAGTGGGAAGCAGACTCTTTTATTGTTAGTGACGTAATTTGATTATTATTGAGAGACACTTGCCGAGTTTTTACCGGAAGCAATTCAGGTAAGGCAGTCAGGTTCCTGTTGCTACAGTCAACCGCTACAAATCTTCTATCCTGGTTTAATGAGCAATTACAAAAATTACACAATTCGGTATTGTTAATTTGCTTTTCAAGATGAACTACTTCCAAAATATTCATAATTGTTTCATTTAAACCATACTTTGATTCCTGGCACATTACCGAACTTAAGCTTTCAAATTTTTCCTTGTTCTCTTCGATAAACAAATACAACCAATACATATTTTCATTGCAATTCCACAGGTTACCTAAAAAAAAAAAAAAAAACAACAGAATTTTAATAACGTCCAATAAAAATTATTGTCAAGTATTTCGGACAAAAACTCACCAATTAAATTTATCTTGTTTAATTTATCATTTTCAAAGACTTCTTTTCTAATTGTCGTAAGCTTGTTGTAAGCAATGGATATTGCCTGAAGATTTGTCAAAGGCCGAAGCCATTGTGGTGACAATTCCACCAAACTGTTGTACGACAAATCTAATTCACGCAAATGTTTCAAATTTACAAAAATTTTTTTAGGGAAGCTAGTAATTTTGTTTTTGGAAAGTGACAAGGACACCAAGGGCGTCCAAGAGAACAAATCCTCGGGAATCTCTGTCAAGTTATTTTCTGAAAGGTCAAGACTAATCAAACTCGTCAAATTTTTAAAGACATTCGACCTGAGCGTATGAATTACATTATGCGATAAATTCAACAATCTGAGATAGATTAAGCTGCTAAAAACATTTTCCGGAAGATTGGATATTTTATTATTTGACAAATCTAAACTTACAAGTTCTTTAAGCATTAAGAAAGTATCAGCAGAAATCCTTTCAATGCCATCATGAGAAAACTTTAAATGTTTTGCATTACTTAAGTGATCTGTATCACTTCTTGTCAATTCAGAAAAATTACTGAAGCTGACAGTTGCATTAATTAGTAGTAATTTATTGATACTTTGTTCATTTTTTAGAGTAAATGAATTTAGAACAGCTTGAAAGGTTTCTCTATTAGAATGTACACAATTCAAAAAAGCTACACAATCATGTTCATTTATATCTGTAGATATAGTACAAGGACAAGATTCTAACCTGAAATTTTCACAGTCGGATCGATACATATTAAGGCATTGGCTAGTAAAAACAAGAATCCAAGAATGAATAAAAATGATTGCTTTTATGTGATAGTTCATGATTAAAACAATAATAAAGATTGGTTTGATTAACACTCTTAAGTTGTAAAAGCTATAAAGCAATATCTTCATCCATCTGTAAAAAAAAAATAAATACATAAATTTAAAAATCATTTTTAAATTATATATTTGAAACAACACATTTTAATTTATGAAGTTTAGATTTTTTCATTATAAAGTTACATGTTTTTAACTCCTTGCTTTGTGGGCACTAAGAGGATCTTTCTTTACTGTGAATTCAGCAAAGACTAGGACCAGAATAAAGGAAGCCAGAAAGTATATTGATTATACTCATGAAAATTTCTGAAAATCCAACCAGGATTTAACTTGGGTTCACCAGAATGGTCTACCTGGCCATGAAAAGAATTCATACCTGACAAGATGATGAATATTTCTGATGTACTGGTCAAAATTAATTTTATCATTTATAATCATTAAGTAATTTGGTGGTTGGATGACTAAGATTGCTAAGACATTAGTCTGTTGTCCTGAGGAATCTAACTGTAAGATCAAATCTGGATGGGAAAAGAACTCCAGAAATTCTCTATGATCAATCTGTACCAGATACTTTGAGCTCCATCTCTCACCACTTGACAGCCCTCATTGGGTGCATTCAAAGTAATTTCTAATGGATGAAAAACTTCACAACCATATTGTCCCAGTCTGCAACTCTGAACACAAACACGACAAGTATGATTAAAATGGCCCTCTTAGTGCCCACAGAGTGAAGTACTAACAACAACAAAAAAATTTAAGTAATTGTATTTGTCTTAAATTAAAATAATTTTTTTTACATACATTAAAAATAAATTATAGTAAAATCTCACTAAGTTAGACACCTGGAGTGAAGATCCAAAGTGTTCAGGTTAGAGAGGTGTCCAACATTTGAGGTTTTACTGTACATTAGAAAAATATAGTAATTTAGCTCAATATATACATAGATTTATTAATGATATTACTCAAAACACACAAATAAGGAAGACTGAACATAACTATGTTCACTTGGTGGACATATTGAACTAAATTTTTAAACAAAAAAGAAAAAGCCTGTTTCTTAATAAATTACTATATTTTAAATTAAATATAAAGTTTAAAAAATGTTTAATTTTCAAACAAATATAAGAAAAATTCAATTCCGTTTTACTCCTAATACAACAACTAGAATTTAAACTGACAATGGAAAATCTAACAAAACATTTAGCGTAAATGTTTTCAGTACATAAAGCATTTTGTGTAATCAGGAAACAAACTATCACTTTTACTTGTAGAAATGATTTTTAATGTATAATTTCCAGCATTAATCATGAAAGAAAATGCAATGCAGTCATGAATATATAAAAGATACTACTGCTGGTATTTCTTTATCTCACTCTGCAGTAGCGCTTCTCAAACTGGCAGACCAGTTTTTTCCATTTCAATCCCTTGCACATCAATATATTTTGTGAAATTAAATAAAATAATTATAAAGTTTAGAAAACGATGTTCAAATTTATTTATTTTTTCCATTTATTTTAATTTTTAGACTGAATTAGTAAGAAAAATTGAATAACCAAATAGTTCTAATCATTTTGAAAAAAACAGATCTCTGGACAATTTTCAAGTAATTTCCTGGCACAGTTCAATTGCCATTTACTCCTGATGGTAAGTGCTTAAAAGTAATAAAATACCACATTTTTAAACACTTCTAAAGACATTTTTAAACAGTTTTATTACAAAATTTTAAGTAAAATCTCATTGCAATCTATTTCTGAACCAATTTGAGCAGCATTATACAATAAAAAAGTAAAAGATTTAATTTAAAAGATATATACAACTAATTAGTTAATACAAATCTAATTTAAATTATATGAATTTTAACCAATCTAAATAACTAATTTGCCAAATATTGACTAAAGGTAGTATTTACCATAGTAAAAAATTTATTTATTTATTTTATTTTTATTTATTTAATTAACCAAATGATCTTATGACCTTTTTCAAGAGTAAAGAAAGAAAAAAAAAACTAAAGATACAGACATATATATATATAATATACAATCAACAAAACAATAAAAAAAAAGAGAGGAAAAAAAAACAATAATAATAAAATAAAAATACACACAACTAATCGCAGCTCAATATTTTTACAGCCCATTTAAATTGCCCATAAGTACTCAAATCTTTGTATTCTTCTTTTAAAGCATTCCAGTTATATATAAGTTGATAGATTGGTGCATCTCATCCAAAACAGTGCTTAACTTTTGGTAGAATCAAATTATTTTTCCATCGATAGTTGTAATTGGAAGGCCTAAGATATTTATTTAACTCATCACTTATATAAGATTCTTTCTTACCCACCTTTATTAGCTTAAAGCTTTCTAGAAGAACTTGTTTTTTATATAAAGCTTTTATTTTATCAATTTTGGTCTGGTTATAAAAAGAAGTGACAGAAGAATCATAAGGTAACTTATATAATGCTCTTATAAAATTATTTTGCACAACTTGCAACCTATTCAATACAAAAGAAGAAGCTGTACCCCCATACGGAAATACCATATCGAAGTTTGTCTTCCATGCAAGCGTGATATAAGCGCAAAATAGTCTCAATATTTAAAAATCTCATTATTCTTTTCAGTATTCCAATAAATCTAGATAAAGACAGTGTTAAATTATTTATATGATTATTCCATCGTCATTTATCATCAATTTCAATACTTAAATATTTTACAGTATTAACTCTATGAATACGTTCATTATTTATTCTAACTGTATATTTTCTAAATTAACTTTTTTGTTTTTATTTGATAAACAAATATATTTTGTTTTATTTTCATTTACACTTAAGTTATTATTTTCCATATACTTACTTAATTTAGCCAGCAAAGAATTTATATTATTTTCAACCAATTGAAGATTCCAATCTGCATATGTTATAACCAGAGCCGGCCCTACTATAGGGCGAACGGAGCAGCCGCTCCAGGCGCTAAGTCCTATGGGGCGCCTCAGTGGTGAAGAAAAAAATATTTTTTTTTCACTTTTCGATATTTTAATTGCAAGCGTGTGACCAGTATGTGAATGGCCTTATCGGTTGAAACGCGCGTGGGTCGAGTGCGTGGCGGGATTCCACTACCGGGCGCCATAATAGGATCTCGCTCCATCCTAAAACTTGCCTCGGGCCGGCGCTGGTTATAACAATATCATTTGCATACAATATATTATTATTCTCGGGAACAGTCTCTACAATATCATTTATATAAATATTAAAAAGTAGAGGGCCCAAAATGGATCCCTGTGGTACACCTTTGTTCACTTGAAAAAGTTTTGATATTGAATTTTTTACCTTAACATAGTACATACGATTTGATAAATAGGATATTAGCCATTCCAATGGCGCTCCTCTCAATCCAACTTTAAACAATTTTTGTTTTAATATCTGAATATCTACGCTATCAAAAGCCTTGGTCAGATCGATAAACACCACCATTACAATATTTGAATTATCGAGACTATTACTAATATATTGTTTAAGATGAGTCAAAGCATCAATTGTAGAGGCCTCTCTTTTAAAACCATACTGATTATTAGATATAATTTTATATTTATTGACAAATTCAAAAAACCTTTTATAGAAAGCCTTTTCAATTATTTTAGTTATACTCTGAATTATAGTAATTGGATGATAGCTCTCCAAGTTCTGTTTAGATCCTTTATTTTTAAATATTGGGATTATGAGATTGTGTTTAATTAAGCTTCTCTGGAAACCTCCCACACTCAAAGGATTTATTAATTAAATAAGACAATGGTAAAGCAATTATATCTGCTATTTGTCTTAAAATAAATATATTTAACTTATCAATGTCTGGAGTATTTGCTTTTACACTCATAATATAATCAAAAATCTCTTTAGGAGAAGTCTCTTCCAAAACAAAAGAATGGAGCATAAAAAGGAATGTGAGAAAAAATTATTTTTTAATGTTGATGTGACAAAGCTTCCCATCTGTCTATAGTGTTCAGCAAATATATTACTTATTTTTTCTTCATTTTGAAAAAGTTTACTATTATGTTTCAACTGACTGATTTGTGCGTTATCCTGTGTTTTAACTATTTCGATAGGTAGACGTTTAATCTCTTGCCAAAATTCTATAGAGGAACATATATTAGAGAATTGTCCGTCATAGTAATCTTTCTCCTCTTGCCTAATTTTATATCTAATATCCTTGGATAACCCTCTCAATTCCATTAATATTTTAGCACGTCGAGCTCCTAAAATACAACACTTGTTTAATTGTTTAAACAACCTCTTCTTCTGGCTAATTAACTTTATTGTAATATTTATTAACTTTATTGTATTTATATTGTTAAATATAATTAATTGGATTTTATTTAAAACAACATAATTACAAAAGACTAGCTGTGAATCAGCATGTTTATGAAAATTCTAGTTTGACTGTAACCTGTTTTATCAACAACTTCATTAATAATTTACCATAGTTATTTAATAATTTACTATTGTTGCTATTAGTATTACCACAACCTAATCAAATGTAGAGAATAAGTTCCTAGACTCTAAATAATACTTTATTGTCAATCTGAATAAACTGAGACATAATTTAAAATGTATTAAGATTAATAATTCTGTGAAAATATCATCTGGAATGTGATTAATGACTATACACTTTACATGCTAAAAACAAAGTTCAATGTATCGTTAATTTAATTGTACTATTTGTTCCGAATATATTTCTTCAGTCATAAATCTTTGTAATGTTATACATACATAGTCAGTCTGGAAAGTTTTAGGATGATATTCAAAAGCTAACAAAAAATATTTATTACTCCTTAACCATTGACATACATCCCTTCTGACTCCATATACCCATTGTCTGTTCAGACAGCTAGTAGCCTCTATAAAACTCAACTTGTGGAATCAACTTTATTCAAGCATCACATTCTTCAGTGCTCTGTAACACATCCTTCCAAGGGAGAATTTGATTTTGGAAAACACAATAATTAGCAAGTGCCAAATAAAATTTGTAATAAAAAGTAAAACAATAAAATAATTTATGGCAACAATAGTATAAAAATGTTTTAAAAAAGTAAAAAACAATTAAATATACAAAACATCCCAAATCCCAATACACAGATAATCAACCAAACAATCACCTTAAACAATCGAGCTATAAATTCACTATTATTAATGATTAGATACTAAGCAATTTGGTATCTATTTAATAGTAGTACTAAAGTGTTAGTTATTAAATCATTAATAATAATAGATTTATAGCCAAATTGTTTAAGATGATCGTTTGGTTGAGTAAAAAAAAAAAAACAATGAAAAGAGATCAGACCTATGTGACAACTTTCACACATCCTTCCATCCCTTTCACTCAACCCTTCAGCCCACCAGTGGCAAAGCAGTTCTGTTCCCTGAACACTGGGAGTTCAGTCACAAGTTCATGCAGGCCGGCCACATGGAGTTTTCCAGGTTCTCTCCATGTCTGTAACACCCAAATAGGGGTCAGTTACCCTTAAAAAGACCCCCAGAAGGCATCACCCTAGGCAGATCGCCCAAGTGTTGTGTTACCTTAACTAAACAAACAAACACTTGACCCTTCCAGCTTAAGCTGACTCATGTCTACTTTTTCACTGTATGGACTATAGCAACTGTGGACGTCAGCCATATTATTGTATATTTTTGTGTATATTTTAGGCTTAGTATTTCCTTTGTTCTTTGTCTTGACTATCCTAGAACTTTCTAATCCTTTTTCCCTCGGGTGGATTCACTGGTTCTCAGAATGAACGTCGGAAAACAAAAGAGTTAACAACTCGCTAGGGAATCAAAAGAGTGGGAAAGCTCAGATTTGGTGGAGACCTTGTGGTGACAAGAGGTGCAATCGAGTCATGCTTGGGATTGCAGCCAGAGTGATCAGAGGTGACTACGGACATTTTTCATGAGAATATTGGAGACCTGTATCCAACATCTTGAGGGTTTAACCTTAGTAGTGGCCCCAGTTTGTGAAAATAACAAGAGAAAATAGATTCCTGAAACTACAGTGGCGAAACGAAGATCTTCCAGTGTTAAGGAGGCCAGCGTAGATAACTGTATAAAGATAGTCCATGCAAGGCGGACCAGTACAAGAAAGAGGTGATAAAATAAATTCCGAAACCTATTGACTATCGTTTACCAGTGATCCATCCAAGGTATATAACGACAAAAAAATGATTCCCAGGTCTTTCCTTAACAATCTGGCTGATTTCCTTATCTCCTTTTAGTGTATAATTAGGTTAAGTTTTAGTTGTAAGTTTCCACGTTAATATTGTCAAGCATTCGTTTGATTTAATTATTGGAAGGGACTGTTCAATTGTTATATACTCAAATCGAAAGCCTGTGAATTGGGATCAGGGGTTTTTTTTTTGAACCTATACGAAAGCGAAAATAAAATTGATCTGTTATATGTATTACTGTGTTGTCTCATTCCTTGTAATTCTGTTCGCAGAAATACCTGTTTATCACTTCGGATCCATCACACAACATTCAAAATTTCAGCTTTATGAAACAGCCATTGTGTTGTAAAAAGCAGAAAACAACATCTGTCAATATATCCAGTAAAAGCAAGTATTTGATTTTACACTTACCCTTTTCAGACAAACTGCATGTGTTACATTCATAAAAACATGTAACATGTATATTTTATGTATATGTTACACTCATTTGGTATGAGTCTGTCTGTCTTATATATATTTCTTTGTATATTATGTATTGAATTATAGAAAAATACAAAAGTTTGAAAGAAATTTAGAAATGAACTTCGAATGACGTTCATATATCTTTCTGTATAATATGCTTTGATATTATCAAATCAGACAAAGTCCTTGACGTAGTAATAACCTTCATCAGTACGATTTTTCGCCTGGCGCTTGCGATAGCTTCGCGCTAATCGCACGCGCTACGCGTCGCGCCGCGCTTCTGTTTAACCAATTTACTGTATTACTACCAAAGAGTTATATAAACAGGTTTCACTGTTTATTTATTTAATAAGCTACTTACTTCAACTGTTTATATTAAATATATGCAAATTATCCTCATTTGCATATATTTAATATTTTTAATCGTTACTAAAGTGGAATTTACGCAAAGTAAAAGATACAGAAATATAATTTCGCCCTATATACTTGCGTAAATTAATATCATTTATAGTAATTTTATCCGAACGAACGGCATAAATAAATAAATAAAACACGTACCTCAAACGACAATTACGTCTTTAACTCGACCATTTTTTCCTCAACGCCCCCTGCTGTTAAATTAGCTCAATTAAGAGTAAATGGATGAATAAAATCTTGTTAACGAGTTATAAAAATTTATAAAGTAAATTGCTGAGTGCGTGCAATTATCACAAATTTTTATTATTAATATTAATATCTATTAAAATTCAGTACGGAATGAGGTCAATATCAGAATGCATAATCATCGTCGAATCGATTAAGGAATCGAATTAAAAATGTCAACTTGTAAATTTCATAAAATGTTATTAGTTTTCTTATTATTTTATGAGAAATTTGCACTTACCCGCATTTCGAATGTGAATTTCAGATAATAAAAACGTACACGCATCTCTCGTTCATTTTTGATTCTTTTCACTTTGTGGACATTAATATGAGAGCCCATGAAACAAACATTATCATGGGTTCGGCCAGGCTCGTAATAGAGACGATAGGGTAGAGATGGATGCCCACCAGGGTAAAGCCATTAATCACTGGTTGGCTTTACCCTGGCCTTCGCTAGCTGGACGGGTAGCTTTTTCCGGAGGGTTGTCTTCTGTGTTTAACGCCATAAACCTAAATAGAAGCCATTTTCTCAGAGAAAATCTTCTCTGGAGGCAGCCTTTGGTAGATCACATATGTGTCGCACTTGCCTTCTTTCATCAACCCAAGATGAAGATGGATGGAATTCTATAGAAGAATTATAGGAACCAAATTATTGAAGGAGAAAATTGATGTTTTAAAATTTTTTGTAGTTAAAGATCAAAGAGATGTGAAAATAAAAGAGTTTAAGTATAACTAAGAAAACCACACGATTAAATGACACGCAGCACATCAGTAATAGTTATTGGAACTACAAATGTCAATCGAAAAGCTCTCATTCATTACTGAACAAAATCGAACTAATTACTTTAGCATTGGCTCACGTGATGTGCCAATGCCAAAGTAATTGGTTAAGGTCAATGCGTTTCTTATTTTCGAATCAAACTCTATCGAATTTTCTAGGCGCCATATTGTAAATTTGCTGTTTCGAAGCTGAAAAATTAGAAAAGAAGACAAAGAAAATATGAGAAAATTGAAATAATTCTGTATAAAACTATCAAAGATATTTCTTATTTATAATAATACTGTAGTTTGTATCTTATATAATCGCCCGGCTGCTCACTTTTCGAACAGACTCCTCAGATCCTGAGCGTTCTGACATTTACCGCGCGAAGAAATCTCAGGCTTCGTCCCGCGAGCGCTATCTGTAAGCCAATCATATTGCTTGGTCGTAAGAAAATCGAGATTATACAAGAACATTCAAAAATACGACTGCACCAGCGATGAAAATATTCTTGACCTTATTGACTTGATGCAGTCGATTACGTGACATTTAATGCATTAGAATCCTGTGGCATATTAATCCTGATTTTCTATTTGTACTGTAGGGTGAGACTATGCAGACGAGAGCGAGCGAATTCCGAGCGAGCGAGAATATGTGGCGAGAAGAGGCGAGACGCGATAAATATCAAAACCTGTCAGATATGTGCGAGAACCAGAAATTCGCTCTCGCTAGCGTTATTTCTCGCTTCTCGTTTGTGCACGGTTTTCTTTTGCGAAAACTAAATCGCTCGCAACATCTCGCTCGCTCTAAATCCGTGTCTGCATAATCGCACCCTAAACACTAGTTTTGATAGCGAGATAGTTCAATAGAGAGGTTTCAAAGTCGCATGATACGTAATAAAACACACGTTTGTTCTGCCTCTTCGTCATATTTGTGGTGTAGCTTACGCTTGCTTATTTGACAGGTTGGCAGTGCTTTTTCAAACTTAATAGAGCTGCAGTGTTTTTATATCATGGACAAAGTTAAAAAAAAGATGCTTTTCTGACGAGGTATTCTTGCAGTCTTACAGGACGAGATGCTGCTTTATATGAAATGAACAGAACGTTTCATTATGTCAAGGTATCGATCCATACGAAGTGTCTCTTGATCCATCTTCGTTGTAGAGTTGTAGCAGTGGCGTAGCGTGGGTGTTAGCCGCCCGGGGAGGAGGAAAATTTCTCCGCTTCCTTATTTATTTATCTCAATTTAAAAGACTAAAATTCAGTTTCATCACAGAATAAGTAATGAAAAATTTCGTGCTCATTTCAATCGGTCCGAATCGTAGGTGTGACAAAAATATGAAATGAAATGGTTCAAATTTTTACAAGATATTATTATTATTTATTGTGAAATTTTGCTGCCTTCTAAAAGTGCTGCCTGGGGCGGGCCGTCCCCACCGCCTCCACCGCCCTCACTACGCTGCGCCACTGAGTTGTAGTCTAAGGTAAAATTTGGTTACATCATAAACTATTTGGTTTTCAGGACAAATCACTATACTCTTTCACAAATGAAAACTTACAAATCTTTAGAGGCCCTGATTACGTGCTCTTTCATAACGCTCCTGATATGCACAGGGGCGGATCTAGGTTTTTCTGGGACTAGGGTTTATTGAAGTCCAATGGGACCCCATTTTTATCATTTTTATTAAATCTAACTTAACCTAACTTATTAACTATTTTTTACTATACGATAAATGTTCATTGTTAATGAAAAAGTATTAAACATTTATGATAATACTGTAATTCCATTTTTGTAGGCCCTTGACACTTAGGGGTCTAGGGCTTAAGCCCTATTATTCCCTATATAGATCCGCCCCTAGATATGCAGTTGGGTTGTGGCCACTCTCATACCCTATGTTTAATGTTGGCACCCTATCTGGTAATGACTTATCATAAAATTAGGAAGGTTTTTCTTTGGGATAAAAAACTTTTTCAATAATATATTATTATTAATATTAAAAATAAGTTATCATTATGGTATGTTATATATAAATAATAAACAAGAATTTGACAGGAACAACTTGAAGGTTACTCTGTAATGATTATTTGTTACTAATGTAAAAAAAAAAAATCGTTGTAAAAAGTAGCATCTTAAATAAATGTTACTGTTGCTTATCAAATTACATAATTTAGTTATTTATAAGTGAGCTATAGTAAGCGTATTGGTTTATATCTTTAAAAATACACACACTTTTATTTATGTAAATTAGACTGGATTGACAATTAGTTTAAAATTCATTTCTAATTCTTCATCCGGTAAGCGATTATCTTTGCTTAACACTTTAGTATTAACTCTACTGTATATTTATTACAAGCAGACACTAAAAGAATAAATTGAAAGATAAAAAATAAAGTTAAAACACAATTATTATCTTTTCAAACCAAAATCTGAGGTTTTTAAAATTATTTAACTTTATTTTGTCGGTACAGTAGAACCTCGATTATCCGACCCCCGATCAACCGACCCCTCGGTTAACCGACCGTCCTAGTCGGCAAATTTCAAATGTCCGCTAGTGATGTGGCGCTACAATATTTCGCTATGTCTTGGCTACTTTAATATTATTTTTACGTGTTTTAGCTGGCAACACTCATTCGACCATGAAAGGGAGCCAGTATTTAAACGAAGCTTAATTTTCTAATTTTTAACGATACAATAGCGACGATTATTATTTTAAAAAATTTTTGTTAGGCTTAACATCGATGAAAATTCAACGCAAAATAGGTTAATAGCGATATACTAATATACTAATTACATGGGATATAATAATATACTACACTAATAATGGATTTTTTCATACTTTTCGGTTATCCGACTTTTCAATTATCCGACCAACCCCAGTCCCCAATTAGGGCGGATAATCAAGGTTCTACTGTATTAACAAAATGATTTATGCAATTGGCTTGTACACACTTTAAGTCTACATGCCGATATTCACGACGTATAAACAACACAATAACTCCAGCTAAAATGCGCGTAAACACAAATAAAACATGAACAAACCACAAATATGGCACTGGACAATTACGCATGCTCCTGACGTCACTTGTGATGTCGATTTGAAACTTCTCTATACAGGGGTGCAGTCACGTAATAAATGTCATCGCTCCGCCCACCAAAACAATAGTCCGCCATATTGGTTGCTGATTTGACGTTACCTTGCTCATTCGCTTATTATTTCAACTGGAAGAAAGACATATTACCTGGCTATGCAGCTGATTTAAAAGATAATGATTTGATAGAATATAAAGAGAAAATTTCTTTTATTGGATGGGATCCATACGAAATGAAACCAACGGATTTTTCATCTAACGATTTAAGCACGTGGCCCACTATAGATCATGGAGACATAGTAAATTATTTGGTTTTAACAACTAACGATGTCACACTAGATCAGATGAAGGCATACAAATCACTCGATGCTCATAATTATTTGACAAGCTGATTTATTCATCGTGAAATTTTACCAAGATCCGTTCGTAATGATTTAATTTCGCTTGTAGGAAAGGTACGTAACTTCATTTCAGACTTTCCATTTTCTCATAATATAAACTGCGTTATGTAAAGATGAATTTAATTTTATATTTAGTCACATTTTAAGTTGATTAAGTTGTATTTATAATTACCATCAAATTTTTTCTTTTGTCCCCATGGTTTTGTATTGTGCAAGTCTAACAACCTATTATTAAGATTAAATTAATTAGCCTAATAAACCCTCCTATTTATTATTGCCATATTTATCATATCAGGGACTGACTGGAGCAAAATAGACTAAATTTTTACAAAAAATTTGCCTTTAATTAACCACAATCAAATTTTTAGTATAATGCATTTCAAGCTTCTCATCAGCATATTTCAGGCACAAAGACCCCACATCAGCCTAATACATCCATACAGAGATGCTTGAAATGCATTCTACTAAAAATTTGATTGTGGTTAATTAAAGGCTATTTTTTTGTAAAAATTTAGTCTATTTTGCTCCAGTCAGTCCTGGTATGCCAAATGTGGCTATAATAAATTGGAGGGTTTATTAGTCTAATTAGTTTAATCTTAATTTATGTTGTGGGCTAGAAGCGTGATTTAATAACATATTATTGTTTAAATATATTATTAGAAGTAAATAGCACAGTTTCTTACATTGTTTTTGTACACAGGTTAATCACTCACAAAATCTACGGCAGCCAGCTTCAGTAGTCTGGGTTTTAGCTAAGAAAAATGGAGAGGTGATAACTAGGCATTGCAATTGCATGGCTGGACAATCTTTCTCCTGCTCTCATGTTGGTGCTATTCTTTTTGTCATTGCAGAAGGAATTAAAATAAGGAGCTCTCAGACATATACTGACCGACCAAATAATTGGATTGTGCCACATGTAAAAGATTGTGGTTACAAACCACTACGAGAAATAAACTTTACTCAGCTGCAACTGCAAGCAAACGGCAATGCCTCGAAGAAAAAAAATATACAAAAACCTTATTTGTCAAGCGATAAAACTTGGAATACTTGTATAAACAAACCTAGTAAGAAGAATTTGAACAGTTTTTGAAAAAATTTCTGTTCATAATCCAACTGCTGCAATTTTGTCAGCGATGCCAAGTTACTCTAATTCTTTTACAAACCATGTCAATTCATCTTTCCATGAGAACCCACTTACAACTCTATTTGATGCCAAAAAAGTTGCCTTACCCTGGGATCAGCTGTTAAATCACTGCAGGACAATATTTGAAACTTTGCATCTGACAGATGAAGAAATTGATTTTATTAATACACGTAAGAAACAGTGATACACATATATATTTAAATCAAAATTTAGGTGAAATACGCATCTATGTCTATGGATAATTAAATCATATTTTCGAAATTTCGAAGCCAAAGAAACGCCGTAGGGGCATTTCCGGTTTTATTTTACACAAACGTCCTATCAGAAACGTTGATAGAACATAATAAATATAAGATGAGATAACTACTGTACTTTCAAACTTTTCAATCTACAGAAGTCATAATTGTAGTTATATTTTTAAATCTATGTGGAACAGTGCTAATGATGAAATAACGTACTACAACTGTAATCGAATAGCAACAGGTTAAAAAATCCAGCAAACAATCGCGTCACTTTCTGGGCAAAAAATTATAAATTTTGTATGATGCCATCTGTTATGGTACTTTATTTAATATTTTCTATATTATTACAGTAGAGCGTCGTTTATCCGAAAGTCGGTTATCCGAAAGCATTCCAGTCCACAAATTTAAATTTTCGCTAGAGCTGTGGCGCTACAATCTTTGGCTATATCTTGGGCTACTCCAATATTTTTTTGTTGGTGTGTGGGTGTTTTAGCTGGCAGCACTGGCACTTTTGTGTGGTGTTTTTCTGTGGATTGTGTGTCATACTGAATCGAACATTTTTGATACTAGATCAGCTTCTAAAGTATATATTTTTTGGTTTTTATATTTTTCAATAAATTTATTTTGTTGTACAAAATAAAAAAATAATAATTTTTAACGATACAATAGCCACGATTATTATTTTAAAAAGTTTTCGTTAGGCTTAACATCGACGAAAATTCAACGCGAAGCGACACGCAATGGAGAAAAATTTCAACGTGGGATAGGTTAATATATTTTTTCGTACATAATCGGTTATCCGAACAGCCCCAGTTCCCAATTAATTCGGATAAACGACGCTCTACTGTAATTATTATAAAATGGCTAAAGATTAATTTTAAGAAGAGATGAGTTTTATATAAAAAAAATTATAAATGTTAATTACGAGTAAAATCTTCATCAAATTCGATCGTACTCGAGATATGAAAAATGACCCCCTTTATCTCCCCATCCTATTGACCTTTAACTACCAAAATTTAACAGCATTGATCCCTCTAATAGACAAACCTCCTGAAAAATTTCGGAAATTTTCGACAGACGGAACGGGAGTTATTAAGCTTTAAAGTAGATGAACAAAATCGTGCCCTTTACATACTAATATCCATCATATATACAGAGAAAAATCCTCCTCCTTCCAAAGTTTCAAGATCCCTAGATCAAAAAATGTAAAAATCTTAAAAGACCATGTCTTCACTGATCACTATACTTTTCCTTTGTTATATAAGGCAGCCGGGAAGTAAAAATGAAATATACTAATTAAAGAGGATGATTTCATATTAGTAAAGCACTAAGTGACAAACCTGATATTTTTGTTTCAAGTACAGTACATCAACACAAGATCACATTTATAAGAACACAAAAATAAAAAGAAATCAAATTATTCTTGTTTTCATATACACTGTACTCGGGTGTATTAATGACAAATTAGATTCATTATTTGTCAATAATATATGTATAGAGTTAATATTACAGTAGAGCGTCGATTTTCCGAATCAACTGGGGACTCGGGTTGTTCGTATAACTGATTTTTGGATAACCGATTTATGTACGAAAAAATAGTTTAACGTATCCGATGTTGAAATTTTTCTCCGTTGCGTGTCGCTTCGCGTTGAATTTTCATCGATGTTAAGCCTAACGAAGACTATTGTATCGTTAAAAATTATTTTTTTTATTTTGTACAAACAAAATAAATATATTGAAAAATATAAAAACAATAAAAAAATTATACTTCAGAAGTTAATTTAGTATCAAAAACGTAAAATATTTGAATAGCCCAAGACAGACAAAGATTGAAGCGCCACAGCACTGGCGACAATTTAAATTTGCCGACTGGAATTCTTTCGGATGATTGACTTTCGGAAAATCGACGCTCTACTGTATTTATTTTTTCCACTAAGATGAATCAAATTCTAAAAATATAAATCATAGGTTTTGTACATATCTGAAAGTATCCTAATAAAAATTCGTAATAAAAATAAAAATTCGATTCCCTGCCAGGGTTTGGCCGAGTTATCAGGACTGCCGGGTTATCGAGTGCCGAGTTTTCGGGACTCTACTGTATTTATATTTTATTTAAGGTATTAATTTTTACTCTTTCCCTATCAAGTGTGATCGATTATCGCAATTGTCCTTTTCCAATTACTCCGGAAAATCGATGCAATACTGTGCACAGAGCTTAGTACGTAATAAATAAAATTGTGATTAGTGTCAATTATAGTTTAACGACGTCCGGTTTGTCAGAGGGCGCTGCGAGTCACAGATCTTCGCTATCGATATCGGAAGGTTGTGTGTCATTTGGCGGCAGTTCGGAGTGTAAGCGATTAATTTATATTGTTAGGTGTAAATTGAGAAGAAAGCGTATTGTTTAATTATCACCACAACTTGGCAGCGAATATGGCAGCAAGTGAGAGAGTAGATACCATTAAGAGGCATTTATCTGCATCGAAAATTCCGGTATCGCAGGGTGGAGACCGGGATGCTTCCATACCCATCAGAAGGTAATCGTCGTCATGTTAACTCGAAAATTATACTTTATCCGCGTTTGTAATTGACTCTAATTGTGTTTATGAGCTTACGCTTGCATTCCTGTGATAACTGGTTAAGTACGCTTATCACATCGTTCAGAGTGTATTACAAACGTAACATGAAGGCGTGGAAAAGCTGTACAAGTCGACTTGTACAGCTTTTCCATCCTTTGATTTATGCATAAATAAAGAAGCTATTGTCTAAGATAGTAGCAAATCATTCTTAAAAATTAAAAAAACAAAGTAATACAAATAATCACTTTTCGCAGAAATCCAAATTAATTTTTGCAGTACAGCCGAATTGGATTTCTCCCGGTTAGGCCATTACAAATTCCGGAATGTTACCAAGCCTGCTTTTGTAAGTGCCGACGGTGATGGTGCTGTGGGTGTTTGCTACAATTTTTTTGCAGTCATGATTATTACTTAAGATTACACTAATACTGGGCTTGTGTTGGGTAATTTGCCATACTATCAAGTGAGGTGGAAAATAGAAGGTTTTGACGCTCCTTGGGGAGTTAATTATAAGGTTCCAACTTCTGAATGACCGAATCCCCTGGTCCTCTGTTACAATGTCCGATCTGATGGGTGTAGATCACCGTTTGCCATTTGTTGGATGCCCATGATTGGTACCCAAACTTTTCGATCCGATTTGCTTATAAGTTGTAGGTAGGCCAACCGGAAATATTTTATATATTTCATATGTACAAAATGTAGGTCTATTTCTGTCATTTATAATGATGTATGAGATAAGCTGGAGGTCTGTAGTTTGGGTTCCACTGGTCTATGGCAAAAGATGTTTAAAATTAAGTCAATGTTTCTGTGTGTCAAAAATGGTATTATAATCTGTTATATTATTTTATGACGTGTTTTGGAAGCGTTTAGAGAAATTGACCATTGCCAGTTTAATTTTATAATTATATAAATTAATTTTTTTGTTTATAAATGTTTTATTTGAAAATGTTGCCATACAAGCTCAATACAAATGCAAATATTGGTTGAACTCGATGCGGTCATAAAGACGTTATTCTGATTAATTCTGTTAATGGCAGTCTAAAATTTTTTATGGTTCTTTTGGGCCGACACCCATTTGGATGTCCGTCGGATGATAATCGCTTGTTAAAAGCAAAGAAAGTAATAACTTATAACCTTAAATTTAAAATAGAAATTTAAAGCACTAAACAATGCATAACACCTTGTTACCGCAAGAATATAGACCACCTGTGCCGGTGGACACTTGCAACCTCTAATGTTTTATTCATTAGTTACATAAACTTTAATGAGCATAAAATAATTTTAATGTGAAAAGTTTTAAGTAGAAATGTTATAAATGTTTGAAAGCTTTATATTCTTTTATAAAGTGTTTACATTAAGAGTTAATTTAAGATACAAATAATTGGATATAGAGGAAAAGATGCTAATAATAGACCACATGACTAATCAAAAATCATTAATAATTCACCCGACTTAAAATATATTGAAATTATTAGTTTTCTACGCATCTAGACATCACAAGGTTTTAATTTGAGACCATACTGTTTTGTTTGTTTTTAAACAAACAAAATAGCTGCAGTCTCAAATATATAATATATATATATATATTTGATATACTATCTTAAAACATTGAAAACTATATTTTTTAAAAATTTGATGTAAATATGTGTTTATTATTTGATTTAAATTTGACTGGTTCCATTTTATAATAGCATTTCAAGTACAGTGAATCTCTAATGTGGAGATATGTTTCACATTATACTAACACCTGTTATGAGAGTGTCATAGCAACAAAACAGCCAAAAAGTTGTAAGAACATTTTATGAATATTGACCTGTATAACACGTTGTAGAGGAACAAATTACACGGGGATCTGTTGTACACTTTTTATAAACTATACAATTGAGAAAATCCTATTAAACTTTTATATTATAAATTATTATATTTTATATCGTTATTTATTATATTATAAATTATTATTNCAAAAGCAGAAAATTCATTACATAATATTCTTGTTGTTTATAATTATTATAAATAATTTTCATCAAAATTTTGTCTTTGTTTTTCAATAAAGTTTTTCAATTTTGCCAAAAAATATCATTTTTCAGCATTATTTTTATGTGTCATGATGTTTTAATATGGAATTTTTGCTTATTTTTATTTCGATGAATGTAATAATTTTTTTATAGTTAAAATTATCAAAAAATGTACGATAAGATTTATTTGTTAAGGAGTAAACTGTCTAGTAGCTATCATTAGATAGAGACCGGATGGATTTACATAACATGCAACCTTTGTACTCTAAATTTTATTGTATATATTCATATATAACTTATAAAACTTTTTAAATCATAAATGACAGGCAAGAGCTATTAAAATGGAATGGATGGGGCTACAAAGATTCCAAATTTTTCTTGGACAAGAAAACAGAACTTATTGGATTTTCTGGGAACAGGTATGATCTGTTTTTTTAATACATTTTTTTTATTTTATGTTGATAAGTTTTGTGAAATTTCGTAATGCAAAGTATTTATTTGATATTTTTGTTTATAAGTAGTCAAAAAATATTGCTTGACGAGGTTTATTATATTAAAAACAGTTATATTATATTATATACAGGGTTATATTAAAAACAGTTGCATAGGTCTTTTAATCATGAAGAACAGTAAAATAATATTTATTTCTTATGAAATTTACCAGTTATCAGCAATAGATAGCATCTAGATCATAGATTTAAGCATGTAACCTTTGTAACCCTTGGAAACTATTTTAAGGTTAGCAGTTCATTTTGACACAGTAATTCAATTTAATAATTGCTGAACATTTTTGTAAGTTTTAAATGCTGATACAATCAAAACCATTGACTCATTCAGCTGATTTTTATGTTGATATTAGTAAAGTTCAACAGTTCAAATCTGAGTTGGTATCTTTGGTGAGAGTTGGCCAGATTGCTGTGGCAGTTAAGGCATTAACCTACCACTCTGGGGTCTGAGATTAAATCTGGACAAGCAACTCGATACATTGTCTGTCATCGCCCAGTCACTCGTTGTGGCCCTGGCTAAACCCATGATGGATATAGAAAAAAGTTCTCTTATAGATTGCATTGCATTTCCTTAAAAAATATTTTATTGTTGAGTTTAAAATTTAAATATTAATTAAAAACAATGCATCATATTTTGGCATAAGTTTTAGCAATTGTAGAATTTGCTTTTCTCAGAAAACAAAACAGTTAAAATTTTGTGAAAACTTGGAATTGAATAAGGAATTTTCAAATAAATTAATAATTTTCCTGCATAAAAAAACCTTGAAGTATGATTGAATGCTTTAAATAAGGAAAAGATTTGTTTTAGTGTTCAATGAAAGAAATTGCAATTGTCATTGAAACTAATATACAGGTGTTCACTTTTTACAAGTGTAAATGCGAAGAACAGTTGTAAACATTCATTTTTTGACCACCTTTGCTAAATATTTAAATAGAAAGCAGTTTTTAGAATAAATAGGAAAGTTTAAAAATGTGATGGTTAATTGGGGCTTCGATAATTGCAGTCCTACTCTTATGGAGAGTTGACGGATTAGAAAATGACAACAGAGTGAGAAAATGGGTGTTAGTAAACAGCTTTTCAAGATATAAATAACTTTAATTATAACTTGAGTACTTTTGGTCGAGTTGATTCATTTTGGAAACAATATGGCATGTTCCTTCAGATGGATTTCTGGTTGTGGCCTCTATGTAGTATACCACCTCACTGTTAGTTGGCTGTCTTAGGGAGATACACTGGTTATTTCATGTCTGTAGTAGCGATCTCTGTTTTTAGAAAGTAGCAATATGAAGTTATTAAAAGGTTGAGAGGCAAACACTTTAGTGATTTTTATAGAAATATTTCCAAGAAAATGTATGGATTCTTTGGAACATTTTTCCTAGAAACAACCCCTTAGTGTAGAGAATTGGGAAAGAAAGCAAAAGATTTTGACACAAACATGAACTTGTTGAGGTATCCTTCTTAGACTAATGCATGCTTTATGATGTCAAATTAGTGAATGAGCATATCTGCAGAGTTTGATAAGATATAAGTTTCAAGGAGATTGTGCCGATTTTGACATTTTTATATCTACTGGATTGGAATGAGAAGCATTATACAGTGAGAGAGTATAATCTAAATTGTAAATTGTTTTTGTGACAATACCAAAGATTTGATATATTATAGACAGTGTAATTCTCAACACTTTTTTATCCAGTTTTTTTTATTGGAAAAACATGACCCCAAGAGACAATGCCTTAACTTTTATTTCACAAAATGCATTTCAACTCTTCTCTAAACAATGGTTCTTCTCAGTCTATAAATCAAAGGAAAAAGATTCAAATGACAATTACAAAAAGAATTACAAAACAAACTTTAAAAACCAAATAAAGGTGCTGTAAAATGTACAGTATATAAAACTGCAAATATAACTCACGAAGCTTGTAGTTCAAAACAGTGAAAAGAAAATGAATGTTTTCAAGTGCCTGGAGCAACCATCTTTAGGTTAAAAGAACAGTTACAGAAATAACACCCTTTAAGCTGGTGATAGCATATTATTGTCACCAGCTTGGAGGGCGTTATATGAAGTTTAACTCTAAACACAAAGTCGACCAAAATGGCTTGATCCATTCAAAGCAAAATCGGCCGATGGAAAAGTTTTTCAACTGGTCTTGCTACACAAGTTTTCCTTGTAGTCCGAGGAGTAAAAAATTTATTCTCCTGATACATAGAAAAAAGAAATTTTTAGAGTTTAGAGATAATATTTTTACTTCCCAGTGAAACTACGACTGCCAACTTCCAATTGGGCGACATTCTTTTCATAATTTAAATTATAATGTTCCATTTCTCATTCAGTTTCCAAATCTGTTGTTTTAATATGAAAATGGTTCTCAAGGTAATTGAAAATTTTTGTTTTTCGCTCACTTTTTTGATCTACGAAATGGATTTTTGGTTTTGCATGTGATATTTATGCTAATCGTTTAGTATACTGTGTGTTTATTACATAAATATACAATCTGTGTCATGTAAATACACTTCTAGAGTATCTAAAAAACATTTGAACAGCAGTCACTTGAAAATAATAAATTTAGCTTAAAACTTCAAACTACCTCTATGACAATTCTTTTTTATAAAAATAAAAACTAAACCTTAGAAATTGTTGATTTGTTTTACTTCTCGACTGCCTTTCATCACAGACAAAGAACTAAGGAAATTCAGAACAGAAAAATATTTTGTTCTGAGTTTCTTTAGTTCTTTGTCTCTGATGAAAGGCAGTTGAGAAGTAAAACAAATCAACAATTTTTAAGATTTTTTATTGTTTTTATAGATTATTTCTGTTCCATTGTATATATTTTAAAAGAAATTTTTTTCTATTTAACAATTTGCATTCTTCACTTAAAGTATTTTCAATTTTTATTTCTCCAGAAATAATTATAATTATTACTAATAACATGTTGAAATAATTAACTTTTTTTACATATTTTTCCCTCTTTTTAAAACTTTAATGGAATCATTCATTTACTATTACTTTTACTTTGTGGATAAGTTATCCATTATTTATAATTTAACCAATTGCGGCTTTATGCTCCTTAATACATTTGTTCGAAGTCCCACCTGTCTTGCCTGTATAAGAATTTTTAATAATGCACATACATCCAGATTTATGTATGATGCACATTGCAGTATTTAAATTTATTGGACAAACAGAATGGAAAGTTACCCAACAATCAGTTGCATAACTTTCCTGGCAAAAAATACTTATATATAAGAAACACTAAAACAAATTAGCACAAGGTTTAAAAAAATTATGTATGGCATAATCTGTTAGGAGATTTTATTAAAAAATAACTTGTATATTATTAATTATTATAAAAAAAAAGCAAAAGGCTTAATTTTGAGATAGAGACGAGTTATTTAAAAATATTATAAATATTAGTAAAATTTTCATTAAGTTACATCACCTTCTCTATCTCCCCACCCTTTGATCTTTAACCACCAAAATTTAACAGTATCAATGCCTGCTTATATACAAGTTACTATGCCAAGTGTCATATCTTAATCTTTATCCTGTCCTGCAAACTAAACGAAATTACACACATCCACAGAATTTTTATTTTTTTTACTGTTTTATGTTCAAGGGGTTTCAAAACGATGAAATTTACAAAAAACTGGAGAATCAAGTTAATGTAATTTTACCATCAAAAGTAAATAAAAGTATATCTCAGTTACCAACAATAAATAATTATAAATTATTGTTTGACAAGTTTAAACTGACTAATGTCATAGAAAAATTTTGACATACATGCAATATTAAGATTTATTATCGGTAAGACACGAGACAGAACTTGGGAAAATGTATTAAGGAGTGTAAATCTGCGGTTATAGACAATGGGTAGTTATCCATTGTTTATAATTGCTTGCAGTGTATAATTAGTAATTTTAATATTGGTGATGATTCCACTAAACATTTTAGAAAGGTAAAAATACATATAAAGGAAAATTATTTGAAAGTGTAATGAATGAGTAATAATAATTAACAGTTCTGAAGAAATGGAAATAGAAAATATTTTATGTAAAGAATATAAAACATGTATTAAAAATGTAAATTGATAAGTAGAAAAGAATTATTGTAGAGGTTTGAAATTGTAAGACAAATGATAAAAAATTGTTATAAAGTACTTGTTTAAAAAAAAGAAATGGAAACCATATTTTTCTTTGATTCACTAACACACTTTGTGTTAGTGAATCAAATAAATAAGACAACACGGTTTCAGAAGATTTAAAACATATTTTTCTTTTTGAATGACTGTCGTTCTAATGTTTTTATTTGGATACCATAGAAATTGATTTATGTGACGTGGATTGTGGTTTTGCATGTACAGTAGAGCATCGATTATACGACTCAATTGGGAACTCGGGTTGATCAGATAACTGAAAAAATCAGATAACCGAAAATAATGAAAAAATACATTATTAGTATAGTATATTAGTATATCGCTATTAATTAGTTAAATGTAATTAGTATATTAGTATATCGTTAACCTACTTTGCGTTGAATTTTCATTGATGTTAAGCCTAACAAAAAATTTTTAAAAATAATATCGTCACTATTGTATCATTAAAAATTATTTTTAAATTATTTTATTGCTCACAAAACAAACAACCACTAATAATTAGAAAATTAAATCTCGTTTAAAAACTGGCTTCCCGTTCATGGTTGAGCCTGTGTTGCCAGCTAAACCACGCAAAAATTTAACAAAAATTATATTAAAGTAGCCAAGACATAGCCAAATATTGTAGCGCCACATCACTAGCGGACATTTGAAATTTGCCGACTAGGACGGTTGGTTAACCGATGTGACGGTTAATCGGGGGTCGGATAATCGATGCTCTACTGTATTGTATTTTATGGAACTTTTATTTGATGTTTAAAGTTTGTTTTGTAATTCTTTCTGTAATTCTTATTTGAATCTTTTTCTTTTGACTTGTAGACTGGACCATTCTTAGACAATAAATCAAAATGTGTTTTGTGAAAATGTCTTTTTTCCATAAGAAAAAAGGGATAAACAAGTGTTGAGAATTACACTGTCTACAATATATTAAATTCAAGATTATCCTCTATTTTTCTTTGTTGATTAACACCAAAGATATTTTAAGAAATTAAAGGGAATCTCTGTTGGTTGATATTTGGTCTTGCTCTCCATCTAAGGCTATCAGATTACTTATTAATAATATATTAACTGATTTTGTGCACATTCCTGTTTTCAAAAAGACATGTTTTTGGTGTGATTGAATTGCATTCTATATAAAAGATTATCTGTGGAAGTTTGCCATAGAGGAATAAACATATTTGTAGTTTAGAATTCTTATATTTGCTTTCCTTTAAAGTATCTTTGGTATTATTGTGAATGTAATCTGTAAGATTAAGAGTTTTAAAAGTGAATTATATAGTACGTTCTTATTTTTTAGGTATCCTATTGGTAATAAAAACTTGCCAAATTTTAAAAAATGGGTTGAGGATACACTACAGGTAGACATGAGTGTATACTTTCCTGCTCAGGTGAGTTTTCTTGGAAATAGTAACTTGGTTTTCTTATGTTGGAAGGATGTTTTCGTTGATGTCCCAAATTACTAGTTAGCAGATGCTTCCCGATACAGGACTGCCTATGTGCACATAACTGCTTTGCAGGAAAGACTTAACTTCAAAGAAGAATGGGTGACAGACGAGGTGCACTAGTTCAAGGATTCTCGTTTAAGCTAGCACACCTTACATGAATCTGTCCTTCTAACATATGAAAATCAAAATTGTTTTATACACACAATTGCTCAAAATATATTGTATGCATTTCTTATTTGATAATATTACAGCCGGAGTTGACCGAAGCATTGCTTCCCGCTCCCATTCTTAATGAAGAATTCATGGAGGAATTACAGGAATTGAATGTTTCTTTTACGACAGATTCACAAGACAGATTGTTCAGAGCTCATGGTATTATTTTCTTAAGTATTTTATTAAAATTATTTTTATTACACTGCAGGAAAGTATGAAGAATTATTAGAATTTAAGAGTATGTAGAATACTCTTAAAAACTCTTATACAGATGATAGTATAATTTTAGAATTAAAAGAGAATTATAAATGCAATAGTCTTCATTAAGATATCACACAATTTTGGAGAATGAATCTGTTATTTTTAGATTTGTTCGGGATATTTAATACAGCATTTAAGTGTTTTTATATGCCTGCAATAATGCATTTTAATTAAAGAATGCATAAGGTAATGAAAAAGTATGTTTTAAATTATATTAATTATACTGGAAGATTTTATATTATAAGTAAATATATCCTACTTATAACACACAGTATATAATTTTATTTAATAATTTTGTTACAGTTTTTGGAACTTGTCTTTTTGTTTCATAATAATGTGCCTAATTCTATTTCATTTATAGTAAATTTAAAGCTGAAATTACTTTTATTTTTAATTAAATAGTAAAGAATCTTTAGGAATTCTCTTATATGTTGTTGTAATATACAGGATGAATCAAAAGTCACAGAAATTCAAAAAAAATTAATAACTCACAAACTATTTACAGTAAGATGATGTGGTTTTCACAGAAATACTTAGAAAGAAGTGGGATTTTTTTTAGGTGTAAAAAAATTTTAGTACCAAAATAGTTACATTTCTTGCCATAGATGGCACTTGATAAGATTACATACTTTGTGTAGTTGTTACCAGAGCTTACACTAAGAACATTTTTATTTTTTTATACTTATTTTAACAAATTTACAAATGCTACAGGGCCATCTATGGAAAGAAATGTAACTATTTTGGTATGGAAATTTTATTAAACCTAAAAAAATCCCGCTTCTTTCTAAGCATTTCTGTGAAAACCGCATCATCTTACTGTAAATAGCTTGTGAGTTATTAATTTTTTAAAATTTCTGTGGCTTTCGAATCACCCTGTACAGTATACCTAAAAATCCTCAAATTATAGAAGAAATTTATTTTCAACATCTTCCTCTTCAAATCACGGATATCTTTCAGACAAAACAACACATTTCTGTAGGGCTCAATGTCTTGACAAGTGACAGGTAATTCTGGACTTTCATGACATCATGAACTTTTTACATTTGTAACCCCATTAATTTGAGAAAATTTTATGTGACCCCAGTATATAAGTATATACATATATACATATAAATATATAAAATAGGTATACAAGTATATCCCTTAGTGATGACAAATCATAAAACAACTCTTTGATATACATATTATTTTACCATTTATTAAAGACAAAAGCCAGTTTGCATACTAACGAGGTAGGCGTTAATATCCAAAAATCCCACTTTCCATAAACATGTAGTTCAAGATTTTACCATTGTCAAATTTTCAGAACTGCAGTACAGAATAAAAAAGTACAGAATTGCGGCTCCCATGCATTTTGCAAAACCTACATTTCAGCTCCCACTGATCTCTTGCTTGCCCACTCCTGTCTTATAATATAATCGAGAAGGGTTGATAATAATAATAATTCTGGTACAAAAAACTTACATCACTGCACCAGGAACTAGCTAAACATCTAACACACATCATCATCAATCCACAAGACATGCCAAAATTTCTTACTCAGGGCCTCACCTACATGAAACCTAAAAACAACAACACCACAGACCCCGCACAATACAGACCAATTACATGTCTTCTAACACTCTACAAATTATTGACATCCTGTATCACAAACAAAAATATACAAACATGTTGAAGAACATGACATTCTTACGGAACAACAAAAAGGTTGCGGTAGAAATCACAGGGGATTGCAAAGAACAGTTACTCATAGATTCAGTCATTCTACGGCAAGCACACAAACAACACAGAAACATACACATGGCATATATAGACTACAGAAAAGCATTTGACAGTGTTCCACACAGTTGGCTGCTACATATTCTACACATGTACAAAATACATCCATCACTCATTGCATTCTTTCAAAACACTATGCAGCACTGGACAACAACACTGCATCTCAAGGTTAGTAACACTTCCATACAAACAAACCAAATATTCATTAGGCGAGGAATTTTTCAAGGAGACTCTCTGATTCTGCCTAGCCTTGAACCCATTATCCAAAATGTTAAACACACAATATGGCTACAATATCAGACATGAAAAAACAACACAGTTTATGCTGTCACATCTCATGTACATGGACGACATAAAACTTTATGCATCCTCCTACAAATCACACATTCATACACCAAGGACATACAAATGGTTTGGCTTAGACAAATGCAAAACATTTCACATAGAAAAAGGAATCCTGAAGAAAGAAGATTTTGCACTTGGAAATGGAGATGTTGTAGAACTCGCCCTCTTCCATGGATTCAATAAGTATTTATGATTCCAACAGGCCAAACTAACAGAACATACACAAATAAAGCAAAGATTAATTAAAGAATACCAAAGTAGGTTAAACACTATCCTCAGAACACAGTTAAAAGCAAAACACACAGTCAAAACAATAAATACATATGTTATCCCAGTACTCACCTATTCTTTTGGAGTTATACATTGGACTCACACAGATCTCAAGCAACTTCAAAGAAAAACAAGAACAACACTTATTATGCATAATCATCATCATCCTAAATCCGCCACAGAAAGATTAATTAACCCTTCCATGTAAAGATGGCAGACATGGCATGATTGATATCATAGGCTAAATCTTCACTACAAACAAATACAGTCACTTCAAAAGTTTTCTACAAAAAACAAGAAACATCACAGTTGCATAAAGCAGTAACTCTAGCAAACTCAAATAACACACTGTTAAACTTACACCCACATCATACAGACAAGACACAACATATAAAAAACATAGACACCATCAAGCAATCTTGGGCTCAAAAGGCACTCCATGGTAGGCATCATCCTTATGACCTGGCCCAGGATTTTGCTGACAAAACTGCATCAAACAGCTGGTTAGATTGGGGATGCCTCTTTGGGGAGACGGAAGGATTCATGATTGCCATACAGGATCAGGTCATAAATACTAAAAACTACAGAAAACACATACTCAAAGATACAACACTCACAAATGACACATGCAGAAAATGTCACATCATGCCAGAAACTATACAACANGTCATAAATACTAAAAACTACAGAAAACACATACTCAAAGATACAACACTCACAAATGACACATGCAGAAAATGTCACATCATGCCAGAAACTATACAACACATTACTTCTGGGTGCAAGCTCTTGGCGTGCACAGATTATTTACACAGACATAATCAAGTAGCAAATATAATACACCAAGAGCTTGCAAAGAAACAAATTATTAGACCTCCACGAACCATACTACAGATACATTCCACAGACAGTATTGGAAAACAACATGCACAAAATGTACTATGACAGCCGTAATCACAGATAAAACAATTTACCACAACAGACCAGACATCACACTCATTGACAAATACAATAAAATCATATACATTATAGACATAGCCATTCCAAACACTCACAATGTACAAAACACATTCACTGAAAAAATTAGCAAGTACACAGAACTCGCCCAGGAAATAAGGCATCTGTGGAGGATGAAAAGGGTGCTTATTGTACCTGTCGTTCTCTCCTGTACAGGTGTGATACCACACACACTACACAAAAGCCTGAGAACATTACAATTGAATAGAAATACATATATCACACTACAGAAGGCCACTATATTGAATACATGCCATATTGTTAGGAAATTCCTGAATACAGACACTGACACTGACACACATTTAATTTTAGTTTTTGGTTTCTATGTCTTGACTCTAGTCTGGCATAGAAACCAAAAGGAAAGGCCCTCTTGTTGCCTATGGGACAAAATGAGCCAAAAAAAAAAAAAAAGTAACTTTAGTTACTTAATTCTACTAATTTGTTTTAATTAAATTTTATAAAAATATAGTTTAAGAATCAACTTGACAACTAAATAAACATTCTAGAAATTGATATTCATGTATTTTGTAGGTCATACAATGAGGGAGATTTTTACGTTGAGAATGGGAAGGTTTGAACGAATTCCAGACATTGTAATCTGGCCAAGTAAGTAGCATTTTTGATAAATTCTTTTCAAAACTTATAATTTGACCAATTAAATTTCTTATAGAATGTCACTTGGACGTGACAAAGATAGTGCAGCTTGCTACAAAACATAACGTGGTTGTCATTCCATTTGGAGGTTTATTTCTTTTCCTATTATCTAAAAGCTTGACTAATTATAATAGGCATTCGAACGATTTCATTATAGCAAAATTTTTCAGGTGGGACTAGTGTGTCTGGTGGTTTAGAATGTCCGCCTGAAGAACACAGAATGATTATTTCGTTAGACACATCACAAATGGTAACTCTAAAACAATCTAGTTTTGAAAATTTGTAGTAATAGTTTAATGTTTCATTTTCTTTACTTCAAGAATAGAATATTGTGGGTTGACAAAGAGAATTTGACAGCTTGCGTCGAAGCGGGAATAATTGGTCAAGATTTGGAACGAAAAGTAAGTCAAACTGTGATCCTGGATCCCTTATAACAAAATGATGAATAATACTCCCTCAACTAGTGCTATATTAGCTCAGTGGTCTATACTCTAACAACTAAATAGTCCAGTAAATTCTGAAGTTGCATTATGCTTTTTGGGCTAGAAGGTCTCAAATATATATTATTATGACTTGATAATTTTCAATTAAACTGTATCAATAAGTTAAAAAGAGCCTATTTAGGGTTTACAATAAAACACTATCATAATAGAAAACATCACATTATAAGCAATGTAACTGAACAACATTAGGCATTAGAAACACAAACAAGTAATAAGTAATGTACTTGTTGTGGTGCTACCTCACTGAGTTTGAAAAGTTATTTGCCTCTCCTTCTGTAACATTGGATGCCGCTATTGAGACAGAAATGCGGTTCCAACGGAATTCTCCTTTTTTCCAGGCAATTCTTGAGTTTGACGACTAGAATGTGTAGAAGCATTCTATAGAATGCTATAGAAGCAATACCAAGCACCTGGTAATGCTTCTATAGGCTCGGGCATATAGAAGCATTACCAGGTGCTTGATAGGTGGTGGGTCGATAGCTAAGTTGATCTACTAACTTTTCAGACTTCTTTCCCAGTGATCTGTATCTCTCTCTCTTACTTTCTGTTTAACAGAGTTTTTATACTTAATCCAGTTTTGCTACTATTACATATTTCAACATAAACATCAACCCAATTGTATTAGATATACTAATGAACTGCCAGATTATGTTTCAGGCTGTGATGAGGCTAATTTTACAATTATGAGTAAAGTATTGATAATTTGACAGTATAGACAGGCAGTCAGACCACCATCTAATAATAAATATATCTGTAATTATTAATGAAGCGAGTAAAATGATATATCCTTTCTCCATTTTCTTCTATGACCAAGGGGTGTGGGTTCTTTTGTTCACATCTAATTTTCGTGTATCTGTATATTTAAGAGGTGCTACTTTTTACTTATTTCTATTTTGGAATGAATCTCAAACCAAGTTTTTTGGCTTTGATGATGATTTATGGAGTCCTTCGAGACAATTACTAAAAAATCCACACTACATCCAAACAGATGACAAAATTTGTTTATCTATATGTATAAATGAGAATGTATGTTTGCTATACACGCCTAGGCTGTCCAACCAATTGCTATGGAGCTTGGCATTTATGCTTATACATTTCTAACTTACATAATTTCAAACATCACACCCCAAAAAATTAATGAATTTCTGTAAATCAATTTCTCAGTACATTAGATTTGCTGATTTACACATAATGCCATCTATTGGCAAAAAATTTAACAAAATAATAAACTAAATATAATTGTTCAAAAAACGGATATAATTTTAAAAAATATATATTATATTCACTTAATTACTGTGACAATGATATAGTGCAAAATAGACTTACTATCTAAATATCAAACTCAGCCTTTTTAAACATTTAATGAAACATCAAACACCTTCTATCACTGAGAAATGTTTATTGAACAAAACACTAACATTGTCAGCCTAATATAATAGGTCATCTATTCTGTTAGGCTGAAAACACTAGTGTTTCGTTCAATAAACATTTCTCAGTGATAGAAGGTGTTTGATGTTTCATTAGACTTACTACATCATTACTGTGAGATGTAGCATATAACACTTGCCTGTATGCAGTTGAAAGTGTTACGCTGTGAAATTTGTAAGTATGTAGTATTTAATTTTCCACATCTAACAACACAGGTTTTTTTGTTTCTGTACAGAACATTCTGTACAGACGAGTTATCTCGTCAATGGGCGTTAAGGGTTTAATTAACTTCTAAAATTAGATTGATTTTTATGTATGTACAGGTAACCCCATATAACACAGGAGTTATGTTCCAAAAATTGCCGTGTTATGCAAATCCGTGTTATACAAAACAAAGAACTAGTACGGAAAGGGGGGGTTAGGTTCCAAAAATTAAAAAACATGCTATTATATTTCCATAATTAAGATAAATATCTTTATTAATTAAGTGATACATATTAATATAAATTAAACAATGTTTTCTTCGTCATCACTAAGCACTATTAATTAACCGAGGGCATTTTCTTTTTGGCAAGTTATCCTTATCCTCATCCTCTGAGCATTTTTCTGCATTATCTTCAGATCCATGCTCTACGTTTTGCAAAAAATATGCTATTATAGATTGCTTGCTTTTAGTTAAAAGATCTTTATAAATTTCCTTATATGGTGCTAAGCACCTTATGAAGAATAAAGCAAATATGGAATAAGAAAAAAACATCTGGCAACACCAAAATCAGAATTGTCACGATCTGGCAACACTGAAACAAGTTTTGAGAAGGACCACATGTATCAACAGAAGGCAGGAAAAGAAAATTTACATACTTAAGTACTAATAGTTCACAAAAATAATAATTTTTGTGAACTATTAGTACTTAAGTATGTAAAAATTTATTACATTTCATGTTGTACGAGGGTTTTACCCAATTCTCGAACTGTGTTAGAGTGAATCCGTGCTATAAAAGCACCATGTTAATACGGGGTTACCTATATTTATTTATTTAGTTAGTTTTTAGAATTTAAACATTATCTTTCTTATAAAGGTTATACCGATCAGATTATTGAATATATACATAAAATTTGGTCATTATTATTAAAAACTTTATAATTCTTCAGAACTTCTTGGTGGGTTTATTACGTCGACGTTAAATAACACGACAGCAAACTAATCTGACAAAACAAACAATTGTACATTTATTATCGAATTTCATATTTAAGTAATTTTTAGTAACATTTAATTCTAGTAATTTTGCTGCAAAAGTAACACAAGTTTATTTTTCCCTCAAGCTGTTGGAGTTCGGAGTACGCACGGGACACGAACCCGACTCCTACGAGTTCAGTTCGCTCGGAGGCTGGGTGGCCACCAGGGCATCGGGAATGAAGAAGAACATTTATGGAAACATAGAGGACTTGGTGGTTCACGTCAAAGTTGTCACTCCCAAAGGCGTGATAGAGAAAAACTGTCAGGTAATCATTAAAATTGTGCGATAAATTTGCAATAAGATATTTAATGAAATATTTTTCTGATCTCTCAAATACAAACTTTGATGATAATTTATAGCATAAATTTAGTAGCAGTAGCAGTTGTTATTTTAGGTTAAATGTAGCTCCTATAATGGAATAATTTACAAGAAATTTGTTATCAACTAATGGGTTTGCATATGCATTATGAAACAAAATTCATAATTTATCACGTTCTTGTTTTTTCCTAATATAGAAGACACTGATGATTCTGAGCATCTAAAAAACCAATATGGCAACAAAAACTTTTCCATACATTTTTGATTTTCCCTTGAAATATATATGCTATTTATTGGATTCTGGCATTTAAAATTGTTTTAAAGCACAAAGACAGGTCTTTTTTCATTTCTTTTGTGTCCCCACATGTCATTTATTTTTATACTCTTTAAGTTTCATCTGTTGCATACAATTTGCAGCTTGCACTAAAAATAATTCTCTCTCTTCATATTTGTTGTTTATAACAAAGTGTTTTTTCGGGCTATATTTTGATAAGATTAGCCCTTTAAATGAGAGAGTATATTTCAATATGAAAATGAAATATTTGAAAGTAACAAATTATAAATGAGTAAGATAAATACTTCAAATAGCTGGATGACCAAAGGCAACCTCTGGTTCCAGGAGTCAATTTTACAAATAAATAAATAGACAAAACCCACTGGTTTATTTATATTTGTGGTGTTCTCCATGTTTTAGTGACAGTCAAAGTTGATATAGAATTTTACATTATCTTGAAAGTTTAAATACTAATACTTCATTTATCAGGTTCCAAGAATGTCGAGCGGACCGGATGTCCATCACTTTATTTTGGGTTCAGAAGGTAAGTTTCGATATCAAAACGACATTACCCATAAAAACTGTGTGCACAATTTGTTTTGTTTTAATCAGGGACACTTGGAGTTGTAACGGAGGTGGTCCTAAAGGTGCGCCCAATTCCAGAATGTACCAAATACGGTTCTATCGTGTTTCCTTCTTTTGAACCCGGCGTTTCGTTTATGAGAGAGATAGCTCGACAGGTAAAAATAATTACAAAATACCGGAATATGTTTTACACTTTTTTTTAAGTTTGAGTTTTGTAATTTATTGTTTTAGCAACTGAAGCCAGCATCTGTTAGGTTAATGGACAATGAGCAGTTTATATTCGGTAAGTGTATCATAAAAAAAGTAATGAAATTAGCTTATTAACAAATGACAAAAATTTTTTGTCCAGGACAAGCTCTGAAACCCGAAGCATCGTCTTCCTTTACCAGTGTTTTAGACCATTTTAAGAAATTTTACGTGACCCACATCAAAGGATTTGATGTTAGCAAAATCTGTGTTGCAACATTGCTGTTAGAGGGAACCAAAGAAGTAAGGGATATTTTTGTATCCAAAATAATATGTATAATTTTAAAACAAACTACAGTTTTCTAAACATTTATAAAAATAGGATGTTAATATTCTTGAGAAAAAATTATATGTCATAGCGAGTAAATTTGGGTAAGTTTAATGACAAGAATCTTTCAAATAAATTGCGTTTCTTGTAAAGTTTTAACATATGAAACCAACTTTGCCATTTAGAGGAATGCCTGCAGGTGAAGAAAATGGCAAGAGAGGTTACATGCTAACATTTGTAATTGCATACATTAGGGTAAGTGATTTGTTTGTGCATTATTTATTGATATCCTGAATAATAATCTAAGAAATCCTGAAAATTTAGGATCTTGGAATGGATTATGGTGTAGTTGCAGAATCATTTGAAACATCTGTTCCGTGGGACAGGTGATTTACCTTTGATGTTTTATGCAAACGAAGTAAATTGCATAAAAATAATTTATATAATACTTTCAGGGTGTTAGATTTATGTCGAAATGTAAAGGATAGAGTTAAGAGAGAGGTCGAGCACCACAAAATCAATTTTCGTCCTCTGGTCACATGTAGAGTCACTCAGACATATGATGCCGGTGCATGCATTTATTTCTACTTTGCATTTAACTACAGAGGAATTTCTGATCCTGTACATGTGTACGAAGAAATTGAGGTAATATTTGTTTTTCAAATTATTTTTTATTTTGTTTGAAATAAAATTGAATCGAAATTTAGGCAGCAGCAAGAGATGAGATTTTAGCATCGGGAGGAAGTATTTCGCATCATCATGGAGGTACGTAGTGTTTTACATTTAAAACAGTGTACACAAGCAAGTCCTTGCTTAACTGTTTATTACTGTTGAATTTTCTTTATAAACTGACGGTTAAGTGAGGACTTGCCATAAAAACAAATTAATAAACAATGAAAAATATGATATTTACAGTGGGTAAACTGAGAAAACGTTGGATGAAACAGAGTGTTTCAGACATTGGAATGGGCATGATGAAAGCGGTGAAAAATTATGTAGACCCTCAAAATATCTTTGCCAATGGAAATTTGTTGTGATAAAGAAATAAAATATTTTTTACGAATTTTTAAAAGAAATCAAACTCGACTTTCCATAAGAATATTTTTTCCCTTCAAACATTCTGTTAATGAAATTTAATTTTTGTCTTCCATCTAGAAAGTAACCATTCAAATGTAAATAAGCATCTTAGTCATATAAAAAAAAATCTGGTAAGTTTTATGCAATCACATTCCCAGATATGAACAGAATTGTCTTCCTATAAATGGAACCCACTTCATATCTATAAAGTATTTTGTAATGCTGTGAAAAATGTAAATAACTCATTAGGTGTATCTAGTCAGAATGGGAAGCATTTTACAGTGCATTAACAATTGTTTTTTGTTCCTAAATGTCAAATGTGTAAAATGTGTAAAATGTATCATTTGGCAAAATACAATAAAGCCGATTAACATCCTGATACCAATTGTTTTTTTCTTTTATTTACAATATATATTTAAGCACCTTAAACAATTGATAAAAAAATTAAATGCAACTATACCTAAAAAACTGCAAAAGTATAAAAAAATCTCTTCAAATATTGTGATTTGGAAAAATATAATTTCCTGAGAGACAGATCTTGTCCGTAGCTTGGAATGCCATTAGGAATTGTAAGAAAGCTTGTGTATAATTGGACGAGCACGAGAGAGAACTCGACACTTTGTTCAGGGAGCATGATAGGGGACAACATAGGTGGCTGGAAAGTATCCGCGACGTGTTCCAATTTCTCCCTCCCACCAATTCTTGTCCGTCTGGTCGATGACCGTAATGATCTCGCCTCGACGAAAGGCCAGTTCGCCCTGTTCTTGCGCTGGGAAGTCGTACATGGCTTGAACGCGAATCTGTAATATGAAATGGTTTATAACAACTGTTTTCCCATTTGATAAAATTTGAATCTGTTACCTCTTGGGGATCCATGTCTATCAGCTTGATGTCTTGTGATCTGCTGACCGATGCCGAGCGATGATATTCCACGAGTTCGTTGAGCGAGTTAAATTTTATCACCCACAGGAAAAACTTGCCTTGTATATCTCTTAATACTTTAAAATGCTGAATGCCATCACCACATCTAAATTTCAAAATATATTTCATAATTTTAAAACATTTTAATCCATTTTATTAGTTAGAGTAGCCTAGAATGGTGGTATGATGATGACGAATTACATTTATTCATTGACAGCTTGTATATAGAAATGGTTATTATATTTAAAGGTGTTTCTACATTTCTATTTTGTAACAAATTTCAAAAGATTTGTATCTTTCTAATTTTTTTAGCCTTGTTTAAAATGAAAATATTCATTCAATTAGCTAGTTTTCTATATTTATTATTTTGCATGTGCCCAGCATTGCTCAGACTTTTGAAAGGAACAATAAAAATACAGTAGAGAGTCGATTATCCAAAAGAATGCCAGTCAGCAAATTTAAATTTTCGCCAGTGCTGTGGCGCTGCAATCTTTGGCTACTCAAATATTTTACGTTTTTGATACTAAATTAACTTCTGAAGTATAATTTTCTTTTGTTTTTATATTTTTCAATATATTTATTTTGTTTGTAAAAAATAAAATAATAATTTTTAATTAATGATGCAATAGTCTTCGTTAGACTTTACGTTGAATTTTCGTCAATGTTAAGCGACACGCAACGGAGAAAAATTTCAACATGGGATAGGTTAATACATTTTGTCGTACATAATTGGCACTCTACTGTAATGACCTTAGGAACTACAATGTACATTTTTTGACTAAAGTATTTACAATAATGAAATAGCTTGGGATAAACTTAATGTGGGGAATTTTTTCTAGGATGTCAGAGAATATTTGTGCCAAATTTTATGCAAATATGCCTAGAATATTCTCTGACATCCTAGTTGAGCAGTATATTAGCCTTTGCTTTATTAGTTGTAATGAATTTCTTAGAAAAATTTTTCTGTACACCATTAAAAGCAACTTTATTAAATGTATGTACACAGTACAAACAAAATTTGTTTACATTGTGAAGAAACATTCTGGATTTTTAGAATTTTTAATATAATTAAAAAAAATACATTGTAAAAATACAAAGTATTACAGACAATACAAATACGAATTCTTGTCTTCTCTCCATCCTTTTTCGACATCACAGGAACATGATCCACACAGCAGAGTCGACTTTTCTTTTTAGGCTACTTTCCCTGCCTATATTTATGTAAATCAGGGAATCCATAGTCAAGGAACTTTTTACATCTGATTTACATAAATATAGGCAGGGAAAGTAGCCTAAAAAGAAAGTCGACTCTGCTGTGTGGATCATGTTCCTGTGATGTTGAAAGAGAATGGAGAAGACAAGAACTTGTATTGTCTGTAATACTTTGTATTTTTTAAAACAAACAAATTTTATTTATAACACTAAATGTTCCTGTTGAAAACAAAAAAACTGATTAGTTTGTAAAGTTAATATGCGCATCATATTTAACATAATTAAAGTAATCTCAAGAGAGGCAGTTGTTATAATTATTTATTATGTAAATTAAAATGTGTCATCTGAAATTTTGTCCCAGGTCTGCTCTGACCTCTCTTTCTTTGTAATTAATCTGCCTTGTACAATAAACATTTTTAGCATAATTACTTGTAGTTAGTCAGAATCATATAGGTATAAAATAGGATTTTGTCCCATCAAAATCAGAAATTTGACATTTTCTTTTTGACAAAGTTTAAGTATATTTTATAATATGCATTTTCAATGTTATTTATGTAAAGGAATGACTAATACCCTGTGCCTTTTTTTATATCTCAGAATATCCAGTAATAATTAATGGCGTTTTCGTAATTACTTCCAAGTTGCATAAATTTATTTGTAAAGAGCTCATACAACTTGTAATATATTGAAAAATACCAAAACCAAAACGTTAGAGTATCAGGTTGTTCAATAAGTTTTGTCGTTCAATAAGATGTGGCGCTATTAGGATCGTCACTTTATTTCTCTATAAATAGTACTACTATTTCATAAACACGTTTCAAGTAGATCCGTCAACTCATTGTATATTTGCAGTTGTTCAAAGTTGACATATCACTATTTTTTTTACAATGGAAAAAATTGAATATTGTGCAGTGATAAAATTCTTATTTTTGGAAAGTGTAGCACCAAAACAAATTCATGAACGATTGTTAAAAGTGTATAAGGACTCTTCACCTTCAATCAGAACAGTAGAAAGATTGGTTGCTGAATTTAAACGTGGTCGTATGAGTCTTGAAGACGATCCACGTGAAGGACGTCCAAAAAGTGCATCAACACCAGAAATCGTAGCAAAAATACAGCATATGGTTTTGGAAGATCGTCGATTAACCAAGAGAGATTTAGTAGAAGCCCTAGGGATTTCGTTAGGCAGTGTGAGCAATATTTTGCCCGAAGTTTTGGGTTACAGAAAGCTGTGTGCACAATGGGTGCTGCATTCGCTAACTATGGAACAAAAACACATTCGAATGCAACTTTCTCAGCAACATTTGGAGTGTTTTAGAAAGGATAAAAAGGATTTTGTGCATTGTTTCATCACTATGGATGAGACTTGGGTCTACCACCATGATCCTGAATCAAAACAAGAGGCTAAGGAGTGGTGTGAACCCGGTACTTCGGCTCTGAAGCGAGTTAGAGTCCAGAAATTGGCCAAGAAGGTGTTAGCATCAGTTTTTTGGGATTCAAAAGGAATTTTGTTTGTGGATTACCTCCAAACTGGTAAAACAATAAACTCAGATTATTATTGTAACCTTTTGGACAAGCTGGATGTAAAAAAAGACCTGATTCGTGAGAAAAGACCTGGTTTAAAAAAGAAAAAAATAATTTTTCATCAAGACAACGCACCCTCTCACACTGCTCAAAAAACCATTGCGAAAATCAGTAAATTAAAATACGAATTGTTGCAACATCCTCTCTATTCGCCAGATTTAGCTCCCTCTGACTTCTGGCTGTTCTCACATCTCAAAAAATTCATGCGTGGGAAACGATTTTCATCGAACGAAGAAGTAATAGCAGCCGTGGAAGCGTATTTCGACAGTCTTCCGGATTTTCACTTTAGGGATGGAATCCATAAATTAGAAGATCACTGGAACAAGTGTATTGAAGTTCAGGGAGATTATATTGAATAATAAAATGTATTTCAAACCATAAAATCGTGTTTTTCTTATCAAACAACAAAACTTATTGAACAGCCTGGTATACATGCCGATTTTTTCCTTTAACTGTGAATTCTTGCAACAGATTTGAAACCTTTAAATGTTTAAACACCTCTAAGACTTATGCTTTCAACATACCTTTATCTAAACAGTCAAAAATCGAATGGTCATAATTATTCCTTAAAACTCAAGACCAGTTTTCAGCAAGTTTAAATAAAATTTAACAGATTAAAAAAAATTATCAGTTTTTATCCTTGATGTGAAATGTCACATACGAATCAAAAGACAATAACTGTAATTAGTACAGAGTAATTGCAGTTACATCGAATCACAATTATGTAACATCTATCTAAAGTTCATCTGTAATAATTTTTGCAATATAACTTGTAATAAAAGAAAACTTGACTGTTACCATATTAAATTCAACTTTTGATTCATAAAATATGAGGCTTTTTTATTTCTTAAACTTATAATGCAATATAAAACTATTTAAAAAGTAAAAAACAATGAAATCTTTAGAACAATCATCATCACAATCTACTCTGCCATCTACATTATGTATCGAGAAATTCTTATTTTATAGCTATTTATTTAAACAAGTTAGTTTTTAAATTATGAATCTATTCTTCAATATCTGAACAACAACAATCTCAGATTTTATGGAGATGAGTTTATAAATTTAAACTATACAAATAATTTTTAAAATATTTGTATGCACAATTGTTTTCATAGTTAATTAAAACGAGCAGAACAGTAATAAAAATAAAATTTCAGAATGTTTAACTTTTAGAAACGTTCAGTCATATAATATCAAGTATACTTACTTAACAGATAAGGAAAAATCTCCGGGAGAACTCTCGCTGACTCTGACTAAAAATGCACCTTCGTGCTTGTTCATCAGTAGAGATTCAGCATCTGCACGTGCTATTCTTCCATGATACCACCTACCATAAAGCAGATTATTAATAATAATGTTATTCCCATATATTATATGTTATAAATTAACAGGAACGAAAAGTTTACTTGTGCGGCTTCATTTCGATATAATTGCTCGGAATGAGACCCTCTTTTCCTTCCAGTTCGGCTCGATACCAGTTTGTGTCGTCTTCCATGTTTAATATCTGCAGAAGTAAAAAATAATTACTCCAAGAACAGTAGTTGCATTATGTTATAAAATACTATTAAAGTTTACATTTGAAGAATTACAATAATCATTTTTGGTGCATTTTTATTCTATACAAAAACATATTATTTAAGGTTTTTTATGCAGAACTTTAAAATTAAATATAATTATTAATAATTACATCATTGTAATTCACACCATACAGGCTTGGAAACATAAATTAGATGGAAGTCCATGAAGCACAACAGTAAGTGTAAGTTGAAGATTTTGAGTTCACTCCAATTTATTCATTTCTTCTAGGACATCAAAATTGTTTGATTTAATTCTAAAATTAATATTAGTGCAAGATGGCATCTGCACAGCCAACTTTTAGACCAAATTACTTGATTTTCTTTAAAAAAAAAATTCAGCATGTGAAACAGCCTAGCTCAAATCTTAATGTTTATTTTTCCAATTTGAGTATTTTGTAAAACATTCTAATTAATTGACCAACTCCAAAGGGAAAAATTTTCAGGAAAGTTACAATAAATCAATATATTATAGAGAATTTTTTAAAATACAAATTACTGTTCGTACGATTAGATTTTTTGATGAATCGGAGAAGACCATTGTGATTAAACTATAATAGAGCATCAATTACCCGACCCCTGATTAACCAACCGTTCTAGTCGGCAAATTTCAAATGTCCGCTAGTGATGTGGCACTACAATATTTGGCTATGTCTTGGCTACTTTAATATTATTTTGTTAAATTTTTGCGTGTTTTAGCTGGCAACATCGGCTCGACCATTGAAGGGAGGCCAGTACAGTGGTACCTCAGGATACGAAATTAATCCGTTCCGAAACTGAGATCGTATCACGAAAATGTTGTAAGGTGAATCATTTTTCCCCATACAATTACATGTAAAACCAAATAATTCGTTCTAACACAAAAAACACACTCAAATTAAAGCTAAGAAGTACATAGAAAAAAAATAACTTTAGTAAGGAAACACTGAAAAATGCATTTTGTAGTTGTAAATGTATAAATAACCATAATAGAATAATAATTGATTTTAAAAAAAATGTAGTTTTAGTTGCACTTTACCTTTGAGGATAGACGATGATGGAGGTGTAAACTAGTGCCAGAGGAGAGGGAGAAGGGAAATGATACTAAAACTTAACTTATGTAACATAATGTAACAATAACTTAAAAATAACTTAAAAAAATTAGTGTTGTTTTTTTTATCTTTTCTAATTTTTATTCACTGCTTTTTGTTTTCTTTCCTTCACTTCCACCAGCACTTTCACTGGACAGAGGTTGCTTAGTAAAATATCTATCCAAAGAGATTTGGCTTTGTCTACCTTTTAAAATGTTTCTAAAATGACTTAGGTAAATGCCATTACTCTGCGCAGCAATACGGCAAGAGTGAACCTTTTCGGGAAGTTTCTTTTCAATAAAATCAGCTACTTTCTGATAATATCTCAAGATTTCCTTTATCGAGCAAGATCCTTCCACGACGAAGCAAACACGCGGACTGAGACCAATGAACAGAAGTGAATAAAAAATGGCACTGTGAACTAACGTAACGTCGTATGGTGAGTTTTTGTTCGTATCGTGGAGCAAAAATATGTTCGAATTTCGTGTCGTATCCTGAAAATTTCATATGCTGGGGCATTCATATCCTGAAGTACTAATGTATTTAAATGAGACTTAATTTTCTAATTATGAGTGGTTGTTTATTTTGTGAGCAATAAAATAATTTTTAATGATACAATAGCGACAATTATTATTTAAAAAAAAATTGTTAGGCTTAACATTGATCAAAATTCAATGCAAAGTTGGTTAATAGCAATATACTAATATACTATACTAATACTGTAATGTATTTTTTTTTTCATTATTTTTGGTTATCCAACCAACCTGAGTCCCCAATTGAGTTGGATAATCGATGCTCCACTATAATTAAAAAATGCTCTTAACAAAGATCTGAGCCAGCAGTTACAAAAAATTATTTTTAATTGCTTCATTAGCAAGAAGCAAACTTGTTTGACTTTACTTTTGAGGAACTCTCTTAACACGTGTTAGAAAAATTTCTCAGAGTGAATTCAAACTGTTTTTCTCGGAGTATCAGCACTTTCAAGCTATGCACTTATTATGGAAAAGAGAAATGAAGGCGGGTTTCCCAAATAATTTAGAAACACAGAAAAATATACACATAACATTTAACTATCTCATCTTCACAATTTTACTTTCGACACTGCTTTTTGTTATTACCAATTGGTAATTTTATCCGGGAAATCAAACAATGTTGTGCTGTTCGATCTGAGATCATTTTGAACATGCATTCACATCTTATTAAGAATTCAATAATTTAAAATTATATATTGAACAAAACTTGTGATAGATGCAGAAAGCATGGAACATTTCTTTGATGATAAACTTTTCATTAGTCTATTCAAAAAATTTCGGATAAGCAAACAAAGCTTAAACAAAGATTGTTTATGAAAATATTTTAGACTTGTTACCATATCTTAAAGACTGTACAAAGAATAAAGTAAAAATATATCTACTTTAATTAATTAAGTAATCAAAAATCTTTTATTAGACGTGAAACATTTTGGTTCGTACAACTTTCAATTCTAAAACTTGTACGAACCAAAAGATTAAGAAAACTTGGGTGAAATGTCCTAATTAATATTATTTCTCTCACACAAAATGTACAATGTTTACAGTATAAAATTACATTAAATAATATAGCTATTAAAATAAATAAAAATAAATTTATTGGTGTTTATTATCTTTTTTTAATAGCACTAGATTTTTTTTTGTGGTTAGAAGTGAGTCATTCTACCACTTTAAAAACAGTTGCTCCATTAAATAATTACTGCAGAGAAGAATAAAAGTCAGACATTTTAAAAAAAATAAATTCCTGATATTCATGAGAGAATAAGTAAAGTTTAGAAATTCTTTCTCAAAAGAAATAAAAAAATAAACATAAAACAAGAACAATAATTTCAAAAGCATCAAAATGAAAAATGATATTATTCTATGAACCTTCAAACACTGTACAAAATGTTTCAATACTTTAGAGTAGAGGTCAACCTACAACCGGGGTTCAACTCTGGTCCTTGAATGTATCTAATTTATATCGAAATGGCTATAAGTTATAAAAACCTAGGAAAGCTGGTCCCTAAACATGCATTTTCACATTTTATTTGGCCCTGTTGCTTAAAAAAAGTAGCAAAAATTTCTATAGTGCAAGGTTAATTTTGGTTTCAAAACCTTTGTCATTATGAGATTTGTAAAGCTTTCATCTGGAAATTTAGCTTTTCTAGTAACATTAGTAATTATCCCATTTATATGATTTAATATACAATCATTTCCTTTGTCTACTTCCTTATGTCTCACCGATTTAGGAAATGAATAAAATGCGCCTTTATTATAATTTTTGTAGTCAAGAATAGAAACAGATTGATTGTATTTAATGTACTTAACAATATATAAATATGTTGTTCATTGTACGACAGAAGAATAACTACTTACTTTAACTAATTTAGGAAGCATGTGGAAAGGATATTAAATTTAATATTAGGGTAATAATAGAGGGAAATGATTCTATATTAAATCATATAAATGGGATAATTACTAATGTGTACAGAGGTAATTTCTAAATGAGAGTTTTACAATTCCAGTGACTAAAATGGAGTAAAAATTTGATTTCTATTTTCAGATATGTTTAAGACATAATTTTATACTTTTTAGGAATTAAAAACACAACTCAATGACACAGTAATATTTTATTTTAATATTAAGAGAGTGTTCAAAAAATTAAGTTTGCTAACTCTTAAAAAGACATGAATACAAAAAATAAATTTTTAATATAATCTCACTTTTTCAATGTTCTAAACTATTGAAATATTTACATACACTTTTTTTTTCTTTTCTTTTATTGAGTCCTTTCACCCCATGAGCATTAAGAGGGCCTTTTATCAGGATCATCATAGATTTGGTCAGGCCCACAATGGGATGGCTGAGTAACAAGGGACAAAGCCCAACGTAACAAGGACAGAAAATTTCTTGAAAAATCCAAGGTTTTTTTGACTACCCAGATTTGAACCCCCAGGTTGCCGGAGCAGTAAGCCAATGGCATAATTAGCCATCCAGCCAGATATACAGTTTTTAGAAGTTCATGTGTATTTTTTAATATCATTTATTTAAAAAACCGTTTTCAATAAAATAAAATTTGCCAAACTTTTATTCTTATGTACTGTAATTCCTTTAAAATATTCCTGTTTCTCCCAAAGCAGCATTTAAATTTGACAAAGTTAACAAAATATATCAATAACAACATAATATTTATAATAAAATAACAAAAAATATGGCAATTAACTATATTATTATTTTAAATGGGTTTTCTACCCTTTCTTTGTAATCGCAAAGCTACAATTTATTCTAATCTTTTAGTAGGAATGCACAGAAAAACTTCAAAAGCAGATTCAAGGACGGCTGACAAACAAACAATTGTTAGTTACGGGTTCAGGCCCGATGACAGGCTGGCCATGCAGTTTCTTAATGTATATAACACCTAAATATGGGGCCAGTTTCTTATAGAAAGTCCTCCCAGGAGGTATTCTCCCCATGGTAGATCATCTACGAATACATTGTCTTTATCAATCCAATCTGATATATATTATAACAACAAATGTAAATTTGAAAGACTTAACATTATCGCATGTAAAAATAAATAATTATTATTTGATACTTAAACTCTATTGTCTCATGAATTAGTTAAAATTTTATATATAAATTAACAGTTTCAACAGTAATATATCATGTAATAGACTGGGTTTTCAAAAGCTAACCTTGTAACCTGCAGTTTGTCGTAAGATGCTGATTCATTAAATCAGGCAAAAGTTGTTTACTGTGAAGTTTCTTTGTACAGTACTACAATTCTACGAAAACAGTTGTTTATTAATAAAATTAATCAATAAAAGTTGAGAACTTTGTTTGAAAAATGTTCTTTAATCAATAAAAAAAATACTCTCTCAATTTATACTAGAATATGTCAATAAAACAAAGAACTGTTAAAAAAAATTTTAATTAATTTATATAATTAATTGCTTTAAAATAAATTCAAAACTAGAAAAAAATTTTTTACTTCCAAGAAATGTATTGACAGATTCCAAATAATGATTAATTAAAAATCAAATTAGCAATTCAGTCTTTACAGACACAAGTTATTTTCTTAGAATGTTAATTTATTCTTTGACATAAAATGGCCATGTTTTTGTTATCAAGGACACAGAAATCGTTTCATCATTTTTCCCTTCTAACTTGTCATTAGGCAGTGTTCTTCACACATTTTAATTACTTACCATTTATAAAATTACATAACTCAATCAAATATCATTCAATATGTAAATTGTTTCTTTAAATACAAAATAAAATTATTGCAAAATCGAAAGGTATGCTCTTCCCTAGACAATTTTATAAATTAGAAAATTTTAACAAAAAATATCAGATATTGAAAACATTGAACTTGAATAATTGAATTTTTGTCTGTTACATTGGCTCATAAATCAGAATTACTGCTCATTAAATTTCTGATTACATGCCAATGCAATATTTGTGTAATTTCAAAGTTGGACAAGCAAGATCGCCAACAGATAACAAGAAATCTATGTTAACACATTGATATGATATGATTAATTGAGCAAAATGCAAAAGATGAATTTTTCATGACTTTAAATTAGTATAAGAGTTATTTATTGATAATTTTATTTAATTACTCATGTTATTTGCCTTTTTGTTTCCATTATTATGAATTTTCCAGGAGGAGTTATTTTGTGGAATGTTGAAAATCTTGACACTCCCCAGCTTACTAGTTAATTTGTACAAATCATGACAACATAGTATTAAAATTGCATACCATAAAAATATTGAAATTGTAAACGATTTTAATAAATTAATTATTTAGAAATGCAATACCATAAAATTTTACGAACTTAAAATGATTAGCATGAAGTTGTTAATGCATATAAAAGCAGACTTGAAAGCTATGCTATGCTGATCGGCTACAAGTGAGATCTTTGAACCGCTATTTCAGTAAGTTATTGAAATATTGATCTGATATTTCTTTTGCAAGCTTCTTTCTCCCTGGTAATCAGATTAAGACTAATTATAATTGTTGTATTTTGTAAATTTTGTTATTAGTAATAGAAGCAACAAATCTAGGACTGACAAATCTAGTAACCAATTGTAGAAAAATTGTTTAAGAACTCTGGTGTTAAGCTCTCTTTACTCTTCAAAATACTTCTGTTTAGATCTTGTCACAATTTAATTACAAAATTTCAAGTTATCAGTAATTAAGATTCAACTATGGTTACAGGGTCAATGAGGTGGCTATGCTCTCCTGGCTTAGTTGAGATTCCCTGTGTGCATTATAATATAATATATACTTTCACTTTCATCACATAAACAGTACATTTTTAACACTTAGACTGGAGTTAACAAACCTAGTGCTAGATGGAAAATAGAATAATACCATTCAAAATTTTTTCAGCTTACTCCTCTAGCCCTTTATGATTAATTAAAAATCAATTTTAAATCATTTCAAATTAGAATATTTTTAGATTCTAATGAATACATTTAATCAGAATTTATTCACATGAATTATATTATAAACAATGGTAAATTTTCATAAATCATATAACTTTGTAGAAACATTAACCTTTAGTTTTATAAATACTTCTAGCTAAAAGCATGTTTGCATAAATTTAAATAAATCCTGTAAATGAGTAAAGGATAAAAATCTTTATAAAAATTATATATTAATTTTATATCATTATTTTAAAAATAAAAATTACAAACTAACTTCCAATTAACCGAACAAAATCTTACATAAAAGTTTAGTTTAATGTCCTTTACATTCAGACAGTTATGTGTTTATATAACATAGGTCTACCATATTTAAAATATATTTTTATGTATGAAAATCTTGACATAAAACTCAAACACCATATTTCCAGACATATAACTGCATCATTATATTCTGTGAAGTTCAGTTACTATATCAGTACATTTATATTTAATTTGCATTGACAAAACAGTTCAGTGCTCTTATAAGCCAAAACAAATTGGCACATACAAAAGCAGGCTCTCATAAGTGAAGGACACGGTTCAAAAAATGTGACAACAAGCAATTTTCGCATATAAGAGTATGCTCTAATTTGAGCAGAAATTTTTCTAGACAATTTTATAAAAAAGCATTGATGTTAATTTATTTGATGAAGTATTTTTGTTATATCTGAACGGAAAAAATATATTTTGCTTACGTTAATTAAAGTATTTTCATCTACAAAGTCCCTAATATATAAGAGTATCTCCTAAGTATCCCAGTTACAGAATATCAAGTGGATAATGAAACACAGTGATTTTCTCAAAGACCAAATTTAACACTTGACAAATCAATTTTGTACACCACAAATGTAGTTCTCAACTGTGTTACAATATTTGAAAACTTTAAAAATATTATCAAACATAGTCTGATGACAACTTTCAATGTAAAACTAAAAGATAATGTTCCAAATATGGGGAAAAATTAAAATTTGTAAAGAATTTTTACAAAGAACGTAACTTCTAATTAGTGTACGTAGGTATTTTCTGGCCACTCTATACAATACATATCAATTTAAGGAAGTAGTTTCCAAATGTTTTTTGGTTCACAGCACACTGAAATGTGTGAAACTTTTCTGGTGCAATGTGTACAAAGTTAGAAGCAGACTAATGTATTTTAACTCAAAAATAACTACGTACTATAATAACTATCATCCTATAGGACTAATCTAGCTATTACTTGATCACAGATGTAATAAATCTTTGACAAATCTGCTTCCCATTTTTAAAATAAACTTACATAGTATTCGTGACAGATTTAGCCAGATCTGAAAATTGGCAGTTCTCAAACCGTGCCAAGAATGGCACAAACCACTGCAAACAGTTGGCTCTCAAACGGTACATCAAGGTGCCTGGACACACGGATTTAAAGTGCAATAAAATACCACCAAACATTTTAATACTGTGAATTATTAAATTAACTTACAAAATATGTCGAGTAAATATTCTTGTCATTATTTAACACAATTAAATGAAACCATCAAGCAAATCTTTTCATCATACTTTTAACCTTTAACAGAGGACCGACGTGAGGTGTAGAACAAAGTCAAATTGATTCGAGTGTAATTTCATTCAAGCATCCTAATTTGTTTCATTCTATATTTTTAACATTTATTTGTAAGTATTTTAATGTATTTTATACAAAAAAATACTGAAAACAGCAACATTTTCCACCGTATCGAACGGTCATCTTCGGGTTACTTAATAAATATAAAATACACATTCAAATTAAAGCACACCAAAAGATATCGGGCAAGAGGAGTCTCGATAACGGCAATGCAGAAAGCGATACGAGACAAAAGAAATTAATGCGCATTCTATATTTCATTCCATTTAAGTAACTCGAAGAGAACCAATTAATACGGCGAAAAACATTTCTACACGAAAAGTTCTTCGTCAGCTGGTTCCCGGCACATCTATTTTTACCACACGCATCCAACACACTCTCAGCCACGGACAAGAATAGGCTTTTACCCTCCTCCCGCATTATATTTTCCCTAGTTTCAAAGTGTCGTTATAAACGCTCGGCAAGACGAGACGGTCTGGACCCCACGCTTCCAAAACGGACAGATTTCGGGAGGGCCAAGTGTGGTGGATAGGGGTACGGTTCCATCGACTTTTATGCTGGCACGCGGGGGTATACAATTCTGGGAGTGGAATTTGAAAAACTCCTCAGAGTTCACATTTTATTTATTGAGATATTTGTTTAAAATAAATAAATTTCGAGTTTAACCTGACAACGTCAAGGCAAGACATTGGCCTAAACAAGCGTGATAATATCTGGCCAGGAAGTGTTTGGAAAGTTGCTTAACCATTTCCCACGTAGCATATTACGTGGGAAAAGACGAGTTATGTGCAATTTTTCGACATTGGCGTACATTTTGGAGTGCGTAGACGTTCCCCAACGTCACTCTTAGTGTAAAATATAGGGAAAAAAGTACCTTGAGGACTTGTCCTTTTCTGAAACTCAATTCGTCGTCGGCGGTGGCGTTGAAATCGTGCTTGGCCAATGCTTCCATTTTGCACGAAGTGATTGGAATTAAGTAAAAAAAAAAGGAACCCGACGATTGGATATTTACATAACTTTACCACTTGTACCGAAATCTTTCCCAGAAACGAGAGAAACAAAAGGAAATAAAGAACTACATAATTCCAAAAAAAAACCTCCTGCCAAAGTTGTTTATGTTTACTTCCACAAATCCCCGTCGGATGGCGCCTCTGAAAACGTTTTCGTATATTTTCGTATTATTATTATATTTTAAAAATCTTTTTTTTTTATAGAAAATTCGTACATAAATTATTTATTAAAACATTTAATGCGAAATATTTTAATAACAACTAGAAAAATTTTAAATAAAAGTAAAATTTTATTAAAATTAAATATATTTAAGTTGATTCAATCTTTGAAATCGATGCGTCACCATTTTGTTTTAATTTCTTTTATGTAGTCAGATTATTCGAAAAGTCAAAATAATACACAATTAATGGACTAAAAACCGAAAGAGAAGAAAAAAATAGCAAATTGTATCATTGCATTACTTTAATATACGAATGTTCTTAACCTCTTTCCGATCGTCGGGATACGAAGAAAGTTCTTGGAAGAAGGTTAAGGACTTAAGGACATTAAAAAGAGTCCTTGGACAGAGAAAAACTGAATCTTGACCTTGCTAGAAAGTGCGACGCCTTTCTATTCTATAATTAAGGCATTTCCTTTCTTGAAAATAAGAAATATTTAGCAGTAGCTGATTTCTATCTTTTACGGCAATCTCCGGTACTGTATTTATTTGATGTATATTATATATTAAATTTTATAATACGAACGCTTTTCAAATTGAAATTAGAAAATTCACTTATTTTCTGGGATTTTCTGTTGTTTATTATCAAACGGTAGCGGTCGAATGGTCGTGTTCACTACGAATGTCTGCAATTTCGTCGAATTCGAATTCAAAGATTTAATTATATTACATTTAGTTTATTTAAAATTTTTAAATGATCTTTTTCTCAATACAGATTCTATTTTCCATAAGGGCACTAAAAGGGCGCATTTAATTATACTCTTCATAAGCTTATAAACCCACCATGTTCGGCCCACCATGTTCGGCCCTAAAAAATTCCTGAAGTTTCTGACTTTGAATCAAAGTCGGGTCCCCAGCATAGATGTTAGAACGGACTGACGTCCACCCTAAAATTTCCTGGTCCACCCTGTAATAATTTATTCAAGGCTACTTATAATGACCTTTAACGCGAAATCTTTTGTACACTCTTTTACCATTTATTTTGCTTCTCCCGTGCACAGGACCCTTTGTATATATTGTTTTATGTCTAACAATTGGCACCCGGAAATGGAGCATATCAGATCTTCATCCTTCCTCTTCTTCCTTCCCTGTCTTCCCCTCTATCCCATTCTCTTCCACACCCCTCCCTTCCCTCTTCCCTTCCACTCCTTCTCAGGCTTATGTCTTTCGGTGCGGCCTGGCTCTCTCAACTAACTACTTATAATGACTATAATTGCCGAGTTTCTTTAATGATTCCCGTAATAATAGATTGACGCCTATAACACCTCGGACATCCGACTGTCATCTTTCAATGGTAAGTTGTCTATGCGTAAATATTTTGCCCGAACATTCTCTTGATTATAGGATGGATGCGATCTTTTTGTTAATAAGGTGGTGCAATGGCCAGTTTTCTTTGCATGTTTTAACTTGGAAAAATATGCGAGGACAAGTTACGCCTGTACAGTACGTATGCTAGAAAGTATAAAGTGTTGAACACAGTCTAAGTTAGCAATGTAAACCTGAGGTTTCAGAGAAATTTTCTTGGTGGGATACTTCAGAATAGTAGTAGAGCCTGCAGTTTCCAAGAATTGAGAATTTTTTCTTGCAACTGTGGATTATGAAGTATGACAAAAAGATTACATTTGTCGGACGCTAACAAACGAAGGTTGTGATCTTGTAAAAAAATGTTAACAGTTCGTAAAAAATATGTAGGAAAGCACTGTGAACTATGTAAATTTTTGGAAATGTGCTTCTAAAACCTTTTGTTAGCCTGTTGATTGAAATCTTCCCTTGCCATCTTTTTTGAAAATATTCTCTGGGTTGACACGTAGGAACTTGGCATTTAATTGTACACTATAACCTCTTTTTCAATACAAACCTAAGTTGTCATAAGCGATATGCTCTATGAGAATACTTGTAACAAGCAAGCTTAAATAGAGAGGTTGCGGCCGAAGTTTTCATCTCTAAAACGTGAACGTCGAACATTGAGCGCCGCCATCTTGTAAGCCTAGAAGTTCGACAATGGCGTTTGAAACGTCATTAGAATCATGGTCGACGTTCCAAACGTCATTGTCTTGTAGTTCCGATACTAAAAGAAAACACGCAACAAAGACTTTATTTCCTAAGATATACGGCAGAATACGTGCGAATATCCACAATTATTGGTGAATACTACGAAAGTTTAAAAAATTTCGACTTCTGACATCCATTACGTCTTCTTGGTAAATGTCAACGATTGCTGTTTATTGTGGACATTCGCAGCATTACGAACTTTCACAGCATATCGTTGTACTGTACATTTAATAGTTCAATAAAGGACTAAAAGGTTTGTTGCTTGTCCTTCCATTAATTGCTGTGTAGCCATTACTGTTATTTCTAAAATTATATACTGTACTATAACATATACGACTTAATTTCCCAAGGATATCTACATTCAGAATCACTTCAAAACCAAAATATCGGATAGATGGCAACGTGGTTAGTTCAGTCTATGCCGTATGAACCTAAATTAGTATCTGTTCCATGTATATACATGACACCATTTACATTCTTCAGCTAGGCTGGTCTACTTATCACGAAGAAGACCCTCCATAATGAGCACTCTTCTCACCGATCATACAATGTGATGTGACTGGCATTGCCAAATAAGCTGAGGGATCCAGGCAACTTATACCCACCGTGAAGAATAGTCGAGAAAAACTCCACGACCCTGTGGCCATGTGACGTTTTTCCTGATGACTCTTCACAAATTCAACACCTAAATGGGGACCAGTTTCTGTAGACAGTCCTTCAGGGAGACATCCCCTTGGCATATCGTTGTCATATTCCAAGAAACCATAAAACCGAATCCATAAAGAGCAAATTTGTATTGATGATTGTATAGGCATGGGCATGTCTAGCCATGACAGAAATCTTGGTCTTCTTAGCTGTCTGAACTTCTTTCTCGTTATTGTTTCTGTCGTTTATTAGTCCAAGAATATTATAGTATTTAAAAATGGTATTTAATGTAGAGGTCTCAAAAGAACTTAAAATGGTTCCGATAACCAAAAAGATCCTCTCAATTCCCGCGGGGCATAATGATAAGTGAAAAAAATCATGTGACATTAATTATTGACATAGTATCCGTAAACAACTTCTGTTGTGTAACGATATGCATGTTAGAATAATAATGATTTTGTGGTTGAAAAAATAATGATAAAATCAAAATCATTAGTATTCTAATATGCAGAGGGAGAGAATACATGCTTAAATTTATTCAAAACTTGTGTAACAGGTAATAATTTTCCCTTGAACCAACCTACATAGTCAGACCGCATAAAAGCTGGATAAAACCTTTATTAAAATAGTTATAAAAGATTATAAATTATATAATTTTTAGAGCCAACTTCTCCCAGCTCTGTATATATTAAACAAAATATATAACTTAATCCCACTGTCGTACTCATTATTGACAGTTCAAAACAATTAATGTATTGACATACGTTTAAACACCACTTTAAAGGTTACATTCGTGTTTCTTTCTTTAAAATACTTCGGCATATCAGTGGCGTGCCGTGACATTTGATGATAGGGAAGCTGCGTTTCTATAAGAAGCCGACATCCAGGGGCAGTCAGTCAATTGCGCGTCAGTAATGGTCTAGGCAGTGTTTTTCAACCTGTGGGTCGCAAAGCCTTACACGGGGGGGTCGTGGTTAAAAGAAAAAGACAAGTGTTTGTAGGCCCTACACTACAATAAAGAAAAAAACCTACAATTTCAGTGAGAAGGCTATACCTGTTTATCTTACAGTATAATTGGTTTTTCGATCGATATTTAGGTCTCAACAGAAAGAAAATTAAATATGTAGTTTTTAAAATCACTGATATAGTTTTAATATGGCCCTGGGGGTCGCCAAAAGTTTTTAACTTGCAAAACGGTCGCGTATTCAAGAAGGTTGAAAAACATTGGTCTAGGGTCAATTCGTATCGTTTATTCGATAAGCCAGTAAAAAGTGTAGACTTCTCTAAATGCATTTTTAATATCACAATTATATTCCGAATCGCTAGCCACGATATAAGGGCTAAAATTAAAAATAAAATAATAAAAATTTACTCGGTGAAATAAAATATGTGATGGATGTACCGGTACATCCCCAGGGTGCCGATACCGGTCAATGTCAAATACCTGTTTTGTCGCATCACTAGTATATCTCAAAGGACGTGACAGGGCTGTTGTAGATTTTAAACGTTTCTCACCATAGCTTTAAAAAATCTAAATATGTTAAACTTAATTGTCATTTGTTTTCTAACTAATTCGTTTTAGGACCAGGTGTCCTGAGAAATTTCCAAAATTTACAACTTTTCGGTCTCACTCGTTGAACTGGAAAAATTTCTGTCTTTATTACATTAATAATACGAAGAAATCAGTCTCCACTGTATTCGGCTAGAGATGGTTCGGTTAAGCTTTTGTTTAACTTGTAAGTAAAATTTCGGCTCATCAGGATTTTGTTTATGTCCCCAATTTCCTAACCGCTTAATTATTTAACTATTTTAAAAATAGAAATAAGTCGAAACCGGTTACTTTGTACTCGAATATTTGTATTCTCGGTAAAAAAGTGGAAAGACAAATTTTAATGACAAACGGATACATAAATCGTAAATTTAAGGAAAATAAATTCTAGAGCTTTTTCTATACCTCGTGCATCTCTCTCATTCATTAAATTTAGTTGTAAATGATGCTACCAAAGTAACGGTTAATTTTTTAACATTGTACAAGTATTGTACATGTTTTTTTCTACATCTCCTTAAAGATGGGGCATACGAAATCGTAATATCATTGGTTTAACATTGAAATCCGTAAGTAATATAAGATTGAAGAACGGAATAAAAATATCAAATATTTTAATGGGTGTTTTTAAAACTCCTGTCAACTATACAGAACTATCATAAAAACATACCAGTAAATTCTTATCGTTTGGGTTAAGTTATAAATCTACTCGTGATTCACGTAATCGGGCGAGGGCGGCCAAATATCTAGCGGGCAGGCGGCTAACAGCCCAGAACCGGTCCTGGATAGAATTGGATGAGGTATACGTGTAGCATCCACCCGAGGTCCTAGGCTCTCACCAGCTAAACCGGGTGAGGTTGCTGCTCTGTAAAGCGCATGCGCGAATCTGGCTTTTTGGATGCTGACAATACGGCGCTTCCACTCCGCCACTAATATTAGAATATACAATAGCGATCTTATTTTTTTCACGTGTAGTATAGAAATTTGTAATAAGATACCATCATGCGGTTATAATAAAATATTGTGCGATTATTTTCATATAATTAAAATTAATATGTATTTATTTTTTAGAAAATACAAGGGAAGAGGCGCATCCACCGCTTCCAATGACAGCACGCGACTGCAGCATATAATAGAAGTCTTCATACTAAAAATGTGTCCTTAAAACAAAAAGAATTTTATTTCAGTTTTGTTTTCTAGAATACATCTGGGAAACAACCGAAAAGGGAATGTTCTAGGTGCCGAACAAAACACCGTTCGGCATGTAGAACACTACTCTACATTGCACTATTAGGTCAATTTAATATCATGCGTACCGTTTTCATAAGAGACAATTTGATGATGACGTAAAATTGTACACTATTTAGACAAAACTAATGCTCCTTTGTTGCTTCAATACTTCATTGCGTCATAATGCAGCACCGTTACAAAGTACAAAAATTAAATTTCATTAAAAAAATTTACATGGTTTGTGAGCACGTTTACAATGATCACAGTTAACCTTTTACGGATATATTTCCCCGTGAAATTAATTAAAGTCCTTAATTAATTAAATAAACCATCTTTATTCCGAATCTGAAATGACATCTCATACAATATAATCGATATATTCCACATTCATATATACTGGTAATATATCATTATATATCAATAAACCTGCTGTTTCTTTTAAATTAAATGTGCCAAACATAATTTAATCAACCTATCTGAGAAAGGTTTCAAGATCCGATCTGAAATCGAACCCAGATCTTCAGAACCGTAGACTGACGCCTTTATCGTTTCGGCCATCCATTCCATCCAATGATCTCTATCCTTACGTAGTTTCTATTTCTAATAATAATAATGGAAAATTATTTAAAATGATTGTATTTTGCTTTAGCTTGAGTATTTAATATTATGTTTTGTTTTCAAAAACTCATTTTTGTCATTAACAAAGCTCCATGCTGTTTCCTAGGCAAACTTACAATCGAAACGTTGCATCTCCTATACGCCAATTAGACAAGCTTTCTGAAATCACGTGACAACAAGATGGCGGCTTCCATTGCTAACGTTTCCTCCGTAGAAAAATAAAGTATGTACATTTATTTTCAAAAACTTTTTAACTGAAAAACTATAGAAATGTTAGTTTATGATGATCCAGTAGAGAGGAAGGAACATTTAAAACCGAAGAATCACTGCTGAGGACTGTTTTCTTTACCTGAGTTTTCAATAGAACTAATAAGTTGATGATGTAAATAATCTTTATTTTTCCTTGAATAGAAGTATATTTTCTCAAATTAGCTTTATGAGCCACTTGTTTATAATATTTCGTTTAAAAAATGCCACTTTCTATTGTTACTGCTGCAGCAAAACTTCTTAACTTCGCTTGTTTGGCCGAAACAACTTATCTCCAATTACATTAAAAAAAATACAAATTCTACTATAGAAAACATACATAAAAGTGAGTATAATAGTTATCACACAAATAAATTGATGTTTACTGGTGTTGCTTGGATTAATGGATAAAGCAATGCAACACGCCTGTCAAACGGGATTCCTCCTTTGACAGGCGTATGAGCTTTTTTATGGGAAACTGGCCCCTATTTAGGAGCTAGACACTTGAAAAAAACCCGGAAAAAGTTTACATGACCATCCCTTTGATCATTGTTTCGTGATTTAATCCACTCGGCCACTGGTGGATCCTGCTCATTATGGATTCCAACGAAACCATAATGGGAATGGCGGATCCAGAAATTTTTTAGGAGTACAGAAAGGAAACAATATGCCTCAAAAAATTTTTTACTACCCGAGGTAGCCGGCTTTAGTCAAGCGCTGAAGTCAAACTTCTGGGGAATTTTCCTTCGCCCAAAGCACCCCCAGATAATGGGATGAACAGGTGGTGCAGGGGCGGACTGGCCCTACAATTTTTGTGTGGAAAATTTATTACCAGCCAAGCCCACAAATAAAAAAATATATATATATTTTTCTATTTATATTTAAATATATTCTTTTTTTTTAAACTCTTTCCGCCCTGTGGGCACTAAGAGGGCCTCTTTTTCCAAGCCCATTATGGGTTCGGCAAGGCCCACAATGGGGCTGCCGGGTGATGAGGGATGGGGCCGAAATATCCGAACGGACTACCCCCGAAAAAATTCTGGGGATTTTTCGACCCGTTCGGATTCGAACCCGGGTCCTCCAGAGCGGTGGGTTGCCACCTTGACCGCTCGGCCATCCGGACGCTGACCTTTGACCTAGACAATAAGGTCAAAGGTACATCCGGTTGTGAAATATCCTGCTCTTTCCATTTCTGGAGTCAAAAATATGTGTTTCCATTGAAAAAAACAGACTTGACCTACAAATGACCTTGAACGTCAAGGTCAAGGTCACATATGAGGCCACCAATTGATTGGCCCCTCGATACCCTACAACTTTTGTCTAAACCTTTTTCCAAAATAATGAAATCCAATTAAGTTATTTTAATGTCTCAAGATATACACTGTATAAATAAAACTTTAAAAATTTTGAATATAATACCTGGTATATGCATTATTTACCTCCACAATATGTGCCGATTACAGTTCTTCCCATCAGTAATCCCATTGTAGGAAGACTCACTTCTTCCGGAACTAAACCGATGACAATTAGCTTTCCAGTACCCATTCGAGTAGCCATAAGGGCAGATTTCTAAAATGTATGATAAAAATTTTTAAATATATATTTCATTAGAGAAATTTTGAATCAATGAAAATTATCTCACAACAACAGCTTTATTTCCAACAGCTACGAATGCATAATCAAGTCCTCCATTTGTCATCTCCGTAAGTACAAGTTCGATTGGTTTATCAAAATCTTTTGGATTTATACATTTCGTGCATCCAAATTTCTTAGCTGAAATAAATTTTTTTAAAAAATATTTTAATATTCTTCAAGAAAAAAAATTATCTTACCTAGTTGAAATTTATCTGGATTAATATCTACTCCAATAATTTCTTTCGCTTCTTGATACAAGCATCCCATTATAACTGACATTCCGACTCCACCAAGGCCCCAAATTGCACACATAGATCCTTTTTTAACTTTAGCACAATGTACAGCTGATCCAAATCCGGTTGGTACACAACAACCAAATATAGGTATTTTATCTAAGGGTGCCTTAGAATTTATCTATAATTGAAATAAAAATGAATATTTAAACAAATACCTAATTAAGATTTAACTACTAAATCAAGTACTAACCTTCGTCAAATTCATTTCACGGAAAATACCGTATTCCGAAAATGTACCAAGATTTACCATTTGAGATAAAAGAACATCTTTACATTTTATTGATTTTGGGTCATTTGATAAATTTCCTTTTTCATTCCTAAAAAAATTTTTTTTTAATTACTGACAGATATATTGTATATATATTTATTTATTTAATGTAATTTTCACTAAGCATACACAATTTTGGCACAAACATTTGTATCCGGATTTTTACAAAAATTGCATTGTTGACATTGTGGTATGAACAGNATATATATATGAATTTTTAAAATTAAACTTAACCAAACGGTACATTATGTACATATTTAGAAAAAACGGCCCAAATTATATACGGCCCATGTGGAATTTTCCACATTTTCCACATGGCCAGTCCGCCCTTGGTGAAGAACAGGGTCCGAAACAATCGCTTTTAAGTTCAAAAATAAATTACCTTCAGATTTTCTTCGGAAACAACCATTAAATTATATTCAATAAGTTCATCATCAATTAAGGAATTGTTCTGTGGGTGGGTGGAAAAATTATTTACCTAATTACTTCGAAAAAACGTGATAAAAGTCCAGGCCAATTAAATTTCTTACGTCACAGAGGAAAAAAAAAGAAACAAAGTTATATAAAACTAATATCTAGTTATCATCAAGTATGATCTTCGCTCATTTTCTCACAACTGTGGCCTTCGTAAGTGTTTTTTGTCATTTGGCAATATATCAAAACCTCATTTGTAACTTATTTAGGAAACTATTTACAAAATTCCTTGCAATGTGATGAAATACGTTTGATTGATGAAGTTACAATATTTATTAATTAATTAATTTTATTTCCCGAGCAATTACGTGTAAATTCTATGGAATAATTGTAAAGTAGGCCTATGTATAACAGCTGGCAAACGAGCAAACATTGAAAAAATATACATAACTACAAGCTTTTTTTTTTTAAACAATATTCAAACTTTTTGTCAGTTGTAACCTGTTAAACAAGTGTAATTCGCTTTATGATTGTTAACAATATCGTATTTGTACAGTTTGTTTTTCGTACGTGTGGATGTTAGCGTGTGTCTGGGGGGGGCATGATTTTGCTCACCCAATTTGAAGCTTAATAACTTCAAATTGGGTGAGCAAATCGTGTCGCAAGAAGCCCCCATAGAAAGCCTCCGGGAAGCTTTCTATGGGGGCTTCTTGAGGGCCCTTTGCAGATGGCCCACGTGTTTCGTTGCCTTATCCCATCACACCAAACCGAAATCATAAAACAATGAGAATACTGTAATAATATAAGCTTGGTAAAAAAAAGAAATATATATATAATTAAATCTTTTCTCCCTGAGGTCACTAAGAGGGCCCTTTTATCCCCGTATCTATCGTGGATTCGTCTAAACCAGTGTTTCTCAACGGGGGCGATATCGCCCCCCATGTCGGCGTTTTTCCATGTTGAGGGGGCGATTTGTAACAATTTATATTTTTGGGGGCGAAAAACAATTTTCTGGGCGATATAGTAAAACATTATATTAAGATTAATTAGTTATTTTATTCGTTATATCGTACAATAATTAAACAAATAACATTATACTAGTCACTAGTCTATTCAATGCAGTACGAATTTGGCGTTAGCCCTGGCCCTCGGCATCGGAATTTTGAAGTGAAGGGGGCGATAACAGTTTTATTGAAGGGGGCGATACTACGTTGAAGAAGCAACGATTCATTAGAGGTTGAGAAACACTGGTCTAAACCCACAACGATGAGAGACGGGACCAAACATATCCGGGTCCACGAAAAATTTCTTGTGTTACTCTCCCGGATTACGGAAAATACAAGCATAAAAGTAATTGTTCACACATTAAAACAATATTATATAAGCTAGGAGCATTAAAACTAATGCTCCTGGCTTATAAAATATTGTTATATATTACACAGGGAAGCGTTTTTTTTCGCATTAAGTGCCCTCTTTGTTTGCGTAACAAATTATCTTTATTAAATAATTATAATAATATATAGTTATATAATAATTATAATTATTATGTAAATTCTTAGCGCATAAATTACAAAGTTTTGGTTAATTTTATTGCATATTTTTATTAATATGAAAGTGAAAGAAGTATTTTATATAACACAAGGAAAAATTACTTATTAAAATGATTATCTTTCTATCATTTTTTCGAGTTTGCAACATTAAATTGCATCATATATTGAAATAAATTAGTAATTTTTACATAACGAACTTAATTTATTCCAAATTTTAGTTATGCCATACGGTAAACAGGAAAGTAATGCGTTTACTTTTATACACAGTGAAACGATAAAGATGCAATCTCTTTCTAAGAACAATTTCTATTATTCTGTGCGTTAAATTCACAGATTTCGTGGACACAATAGTATATTTGGATACGCTTCGTAATTATGTAAAGAAGTTTTAGAAATTGGTCAGCTTGTATAACAGTTTTATAATTATATTTATATAATATAGCGCGCCTTTTTGTTCTCTATACACTTCTAAACCTTTCCATTGACACTAAATTTTTCATATTTACTTTCTAGGACCTGCAGGAAATGTAGCTTACCATAAAACCTTGACATCACCCAATTCCTTTGATGTCATCCCTTTCACACTACGAACGATAATAATAATAATAATAATAATAAATAGGAACAAACATTCTAACAATTAATTAAATAACCGAATTGAAAGTGAAACAATTTTTACCTTCAATGCGGTAATTTCAACTATCTTATGTACTTTTTTTTAGTGTTCTGGTTTGGTTTAATGGGATGTGACAACTCAAACACGTGGAAAATCTGCCAAGAAGGAAGCCACCCGGAAGGACTTTATACGGGAAACTGGCTCTTTTAATTATTAAAATCGCGAAGAAAATCCGTAAAACACGCGACCAACTCTTTGTCAAGACCTGAACCCGCGACCGATTGCCAAAATTCACTGGTTTTATCACTGGTGGGAACATAAACAATCATACGGAGAAAAGGGCAGTATTTTCGATCAGCAAAAAAACAAATAAATAAATTAATTAAAAATATATCTAAATAAACAATATTTTCTTTTATAATATTATAAATTTGTTATTTATTATTATTATTTTTTTAAATATGTACGGTAATCCGTAAGCCTGTAACAATACGAGTTGAGTTGATCAATCCACTCCAAATCACTCTTAAGGTCCTTCAGATAATAATAAAATTTAGGAATTAAGATCTTTTTTATTTTAAAATAGTTAATTTTATTAAGAAAAAAAAAACATTATAATATTGAAAGTAAATTCGTATAACTCAACACTGCTCGAGAGAAAATGAAGGAGAGTAACGACAATCAAGTTTAATTTAAATGACAATATCTTCATCTGCATCATCACGAAAGAATATTTATTAAGAATATTAGAATCCCGTTATAATTCATGAATACAAAATGGTATGTTTTCATCGTTTAACAGTACAAAAACCTAAAAAAATTATAGTAATTAATGATGTAACAACGTTTATTTAAATGGCTTGTAGCCAATTCGTTTCCTGCAACCGAAAAGCAATAGAATTTCATAATTCGGCAACTGCCTTTTGTTATAAAACTTATCTTTTCGCTATAAATTCGATTGGGGTGAACATACAAAACGATGTAATACAGAAAAAAGACGATTGTATCGATGTGAATATTTCAATGAGGTGAGTTTCCGTTGTACAGAGAGTCCGTTTTACAGAGAGTCCGTAAATGTAGACCCATTTAATCCAAGTATATCGGAGATATAAAAAAAAGCAAGCTTAACCACTTCCACCGATTTAAACAAAATCGGTGGAACAAGTCTATAGAATGTCTTCTGAGAAGAACCATGTTTTCATCGTTGTACTATGGATAACAAATAATTCTAAGAAAATAATATAGAAAACAAAACTTGTCTGATATTTAGGTTATAACGATTGAAATACAACAGGCGAACGATATTATATAAGTAGTGGTTTGCAACTTGAATCTCGTAGCCGATATGCAATTCCAGCAACGTCCTTTCTTCTTACGTAACGGAATTAACATTGAAGTAAGTTTCCACATATAAATTAATAGTCTGGGAGTAATCGTGTGACAATGATAATTCCACTGATTTTAATTGCATTTGCCGTGTGTTTTTTGAACAAGTGAAATATGTAAAATGTTTATTAATTAATTTATAGAAGTGGGAGCCACTACGAGCACCTAAATTCCTACGGGTCGGGAGGAAAATTCATTCACAGTTCACCCTCTCAACGGCTTTGCCTATCCTACAATTGAATTTATAATGAGTCGGTTTTGAATAGGTTTTACTTTAATTATATTGATAAATGGCTTAGAAGATTTCTCAACTGGCCATCTACTGAAGGGATGAAACACTAGTCGTGGGTCGTGGGTTCTTTGCGTTGTTTAATATGAATAATGTAAGCTACTGTGGCATCTTTTATGTAAATATTTCCTCCTCATTAAAGACAAATTATTGTGTTATCGTGAACAATTTAACTTTCTTGCTTGGTGTCATCAGACGAGAGATCATCCATATCGGACAGACCATCCCTGAAAAGTTTCTGGGCTTACTTCCGCTCAGATTCGATCCCGTGTCTTCAGGGCTAACGTCTTAAATTCCTCAGGTGTGAAGGTTAACGCGTACAAAATTGCTGAGTTTCGGTTTGCAACGTAGTGAAGTTATTTAAAACTGTTTTTATAATAATTAGAAGAGAAGTAATTCAATTTAGTCGTTTTATGGTCGTATAGCATTAAATTCTCCATCACATTAATAATATAACTGATTATTTATGGATGAAGAAGATTGGATCTTTGTTTATAATTCCAAATCCATGTTGGTTTCAGGCTGAACTTATTAAAAACTTAAAAAATGAAATGAAGTCCATAATAAAAATTAAAATTCTGTTTCCTTTTAATTCTTTCTGTCTAAAGGTGCACTTAAAGGCCTTTTTTCCACGCTAATCACGTATTCAGTTCCGATCACACGCTACTTGACGTGACAACGGACTCGACCGACATATCCGGATCAAGTCACACACAAAAATTTTCGAGGCCCTGACCGGGTCCGTGAGAAAAGTGGAATGACGCATTCTTTGATCACGTGGCATGTACTCCTTGAAGATCAATTAAAAAAAATCAAGAAAAATATTCGACGGCAACATTTTCCATATTCATAGTAAAATTAAAGCGTTTTTAAACGAGTATTATTTGGATTTTATGATGAATTTTGTGAATATGAAGTTATTGGTAATTAAAGTTAAAG